GATAACTCATCATCACTTTCAAATACAAACAAATAGTACGAGAAACACTGCAGAAGTCTGTACCATTTGACAGAAGTAATCCAACCAACTCATATATTTATATATATTTCACTGAGTATTGTTTATCATATTTACTTTACGCTTAGGAAAACAACGTAGAAAATCGGAAAATAATGTTTTAAAAGTTCTATCTGTATCCAATCTAAAAAGCAACCACATGAAACTTTTAGCGCTAAACTTCTTCCTAAAAAATAAGAGTTGACTAAAATATAAAACAACATTGTAATGCATAAAATTCAATAAATCGGTCGCTTTATTCAGAATCTTGAATTCTTATTACATATGAAAAAATCAAGTTAAAATAGAAAAATAACTAATTTCACCTTTTTTTTTTTTTTAAAGGAAATTTGAATTGTTAGTGCACACTAACAACAAATAAGTAAAGAAATATTTAACAAAAATGATTATGCAAATAACCATGTACAAATGTCTGAAAACCACGATTCATAAATTTGGATTATCACATTTCTAGAGTTTCAAAATCGACCTAATAGTTCTTTCTTCACTATTAAACATATTTATCACGGTTTCTAATACAATTATTACTAAGAAATTTCTTTTAAAAACAAACTAATACCACAGTGAATTTTTTAAACTATTTGTTTATTTGTTAATATTTTGTTTATATAGAAATATTTAGATTTACTTACACTGGTATTTAATTATTATTAAGTTCCTGATAATTTTTACGAGGTACAATGTATTATGGTAAAACTTTACGTACCTATATTATAAAATAATTTGTTATAGGTAATTTTAAATACTTGACTTTTTTTCTTAGAGATCCCTGTTCGTGTAATTACCAATATTTAACGTCTAAGTGATTTATTAATTAGTTAGATATTAAATGTTTATGTTTATGATTTTTGGATATACCCATGTCTCTTAACTGTCTTTTACTATTAATTAATAAATAATTAATTCATCCGAGGGCAGATGATTGATGAAAAATTCACATATCTTGAAAAGTCGTTAAAAAACTTTTTCTTGGTTCTTTGCTTTTTTATATAATAACAATTATCATATACATTTGTATAAATTTAAATTACAACATTGAATCATTGCATAAATCCACTCATGAGTAAGCTACTGTGTATAATATATTTAATGATATTCCTATAACTATAAATATTTGTAAAAATGATCAGACTTAGTTTTAACTATCAAAATCTTCCTACTATGAAAGTTAACAGTCTTATCTTTTAATTTTTTTAATCAGATAAAATAGCATTTATAGGTTTCGATGTTTAATGATTGGCAACATTTCAAGCCATAAAACTTCAAGTTACTCGTTTTATCAAAAGAAAAATAAACGGTTTCAGGACAAATTAGTATAATTTCTACGTTTTTTTTGTTCTTTTTTTTTTTACGCCAAAGGTAACTACTGAGAATACCGAAAAATTACAATTTTAAAGTACCACCTATTTTATATCCTCTCTAAAAAGTAGTATCATGAAACTTTAATGCTTATTTACTACTACCTGAAAAGAACTTACAGCAAAAATATTGTTAAACTTAAAACTTTTCTTGTTTTGCTTAAAATATTATAAAAGACAATATAATATCGATAATAACAATCTGTTCACTGTTGTAACCTATCCAAATTGTCTTGTTATCACTATAACTAAACCACATCATAAAAATATTTTTAAAAACTCTTGTTTTTTTAAAAAAAAAAAAAAAGTAAATTTGAAACTGTCACATTCAAGCTAAGTGGCGAATGTTACCAACTCACAAGTGAGATGAAGTTTAATCTTGAAATATTTTATTTAAAAACAAGTATGTCTTATTTATATTTAGGCATAATTTATTATAATTTTAACATATAATAACGAATAATGATTGACTCTAAAAATCTACAAGAATTAGCGCTGGAAAAAAACATTTTCAACTATTTAAGAAGAAAATAAATTGCATAACTTATAAATAAAAACAACTTATATGTATAGGTACTATTTTAATGCTTGAAACATTCCAACCATATTAAAATTTATTTCTTAAATAAAGTTTGATTTTAATATGTTTCTTAATCCAATTTTTTATTTATTAATTATCTACAATAAATAAGTATTATGACTTCAGATCAAATCAAAAGGTCTTCAAATCATCATAAAGGTATTCTAAAGAAATTCTACTTTGAATCATGTATAAGTAAATATATGTAAATGTATTCACATATATATGAAGACTTGATATCAATAACGGGCTGAGTGCCAAAGAGTTGATTTTTAAGTTCATCAGAAAAATGTTCAAGTGCCAAGCTCAATAAAATATGAAACAGACTAAGTGCCTCAGTTGCTAATCATAGGTTAAAACATATTCACTAGATGGCGTGTGGGACTTTGTGGTGAATTGAAAGTGCTAAGTGCCACTAAACATATAATTTTTATTTATAGTCATATTTATCAATTATTAATATGTTCTATGGTGACACGATCCAGTCTATAATACTCCTATTTCATAACTTTTATGCCTTAAAAGAAAACTGTAAACAAAATACTTATTTGATGGTTTTGATAAGTATTACTTCGATGAAAAGAAAGTGTCATGGTCAGTATGTTGATCCGAAGGATAGCAGATGGCAAATTACAATATGTTTTTCTATGCCAGATGGAACAGGTAACATCATATAGGTCTATAAAAAATCTTTTATGGAAGTTTTTGGGGTGACTAAATGCAGAGTTGAGACTCTAGTGGTAAAAAAAAAAGGAGATACTGTATAATGAAACACGTGGTAATACACAGAAAAAAAGGAAGTTTACAGATGCAGATAAAAACCTTATAATAGAACATGTGAATTCCTTTCCGAAGTATGAAAGTCGTTACGGGAGAAAAAAAAAGCCATAAAGAATACTGAATCCAAGATTTAAATAGAAGTAGACTTTTTCGTTCGTTTAATGATAAATTTCCAGACTCTCCTATCGCCTACAGATTTTTCTTTGAAACGTTTAACAAAAATGCCCAAATATTTTATTCCATAAACCACATACAGATACATGCAGTAAATATGATTTATTATTAACAGAAGTAGTGGCGAAACCTCGTCAGTTATTCTGTTACAATTTAGGTGTATATGAGTGTAATAGAAATACGGGGCACATATTCTTATGGCACTAAGGAATAAGTGATCGCAGAGGAAATGAAATCGCTTCATGTGTTTTTGAAACATTGAATTCTAATCCAACAGTGAAACGTCAACTATTTGGTCTGATAACTGTATTGGCCAGAATAAAAACAAGATGCTATTATTTCTCTGGATATTTTTAATACTCACAGATAAATTTGACGAGATTAATCATAAGTACCTAGTGCCTGGGCATTCATTTCTGTCCTGTAACAGAGATTTCGCCCAAATTTAAAAATGTTAAAGAGTTGAAAAGTATGAAGTTCCAGTGGATTTATTAAAACTCATTATCCACGCAATACTAAATAGCTTGTTTATAATCACTTTATTAGAGCCCAATAATTTCTATGATTTCAAAAAAGCAACAGACATGTATTTAAATACAGGAAAACTTCAAATTGGCTTCAAATTAGCAAATCTTAGCTCAAAAAAACAAAAGATTAGCCCGGCGTGGGCAAACAAAAGCTAACTTCAGTGAACTTGAAAATTGGAACACGTGCAAAGACTTCAAAAAAAGGTTTGAAGTTAACACAATAAAAGAAATCGATTTACCTAACCTAACCTTGGTTTGTAAAAATACAATATCAGTTAAAAAAAAAAAATTTCAGCAAATGCTCTCATTTTTAAAAAAAAGATAATAAAGATTTTTTCGAACAATTAATTAAGTAAATGATGCTATTTTTTTACTCTATATTTATTTATTATTTGTAAAGACTTAGTCTAATATTAAAAAAAATATTTGATCTACATCTTTTAAATTTGTAAAAAAAAATAAAAAATTCTAACTTGGCACATTTTTACTGATATATACTGCAGTGACTTAACATTTTTTAGCATTTTTTTGATATTAGATTTTTTTTTTTAATAAAGGAGTGAAGTAAAACTTGTAGTTCGCATGAGTAGTGTTAATTATAAGTTATTAAAAGGTCTTACTTTTTTATTGACATGTATTTTATTTTCAAGAAAATTGTGAATGACTCAAAATTAAATTATTGGTATTTAGCCCGTTATTGATTTCAAGTCTTCATATGCTTAATGTAAATTTAAATTATTGTATTAATAATCAGCAGTAGTTTAACACTTCATTAATATTATTCTTAAATCAATTCCAGTTAATTTTTATAATATATTTATATACCTATTCAAGTAATCCGTGTATAATAAATAATCCACCCCTTCCATGAAGAACAGATATTATAAGCTACTCTCAAAAATCAACAATAAAACGAACATATTATGTTTATTTTTGATAGTAAGCTAAGTTTTAATAAAATTTATAACGATATTAAAATATATACTAGTTCAATTAATCCTGTATGAATATTATACTTCAACATAAAGCTCTGTGAAATTGTCAACAATTAAAAAAAATTTAGCACTCAAATATTTTATATCGAAACGAATAACACACATTATTATATAATATAACAACCGAGTAATGTACCTTCTCTCTTCACAAATATTTAAAACAATAAAATCGCCACTAAATTATAGCTTTAGCACTTTATGATTTCACCATATTTTTCGTGAAACCCTTACTTTTTTTTAGCTTTTTAGATTTTTTTAGAATTATTTGTAAATATATTATAATGATATAATAATAATTGTGTTATAGATATTTAATGAAAAAAAAATATGTTTAAATAATAATAATGGTACACATATATAATAATACCTTAATAATAATTACTTTAATTAGATTAAATATAAATGTAGACTGTTCCATATGGCTTATACATTGTTATTTAATATACAAAGATTTTTTTTCTATAATGCAAACCTTTTCTCATCATTACTAATCTTTAGTTGGAAATTTTAAAGTAATTTGCTTAAAAATGTTTAAAATAATTACTTAAGCTTCGCGGGACCCTGAAGTGATCTTCGCAGAACCCCAGTTTTCCACGAACACAGTTTAAGAAATGGTATGCCGTATAACATCTTCAAACATACTACCAAGTAATCTTCGGTGCCAAAAAGTATTACCTTTAATTATAATAATGGCGTAGCAAGAAAAATATTTTTGGGGGATTTTTAAATTTTGAACTTTTTCTCTTAATTAAGTACCAACTTTTTAATTTTAATAAGTTCATTAAACTTGAGTTAAAATATAAAATGTATTATCATTTAGTTTTTTGAAGCTATGAAAATTGATGATAATATGATATAACATTATACTTATGTCTTAAATATCTTTATATCTTACAAAATAAGAGAGACATTTGGGGGAGGGGTATACTCTTCAGACACCCCCTGGATACGCCGCTGATAAAAAATACTGTTTATAATAAATATGGCATTACGTATACGATATAGGTACCTATAAACTCGTAACATGTGAATCAAATAGTTGGGCCATCGGTTTCAGACCACTGTATCGTTTTATATTTATTATATCATTGTCTCGGTTAGTCTTTTGTTAAGAATATTTTTCAATTTTGTGTTCTATGTTGGCATTTTTTTCTCAAATACAAGTAGGTACCATTATTTATTATCTTTGCACGTATTTTCGTTGTCGCTTTTAATAATGTAGTTAATAATATTATTGTTATCGGTAAACGACAATACGGTAGGTATGGTATTATTTATAACGCATAGTACGTTTCGGCTGCGTAGACGTTTTAACAGCTTGTAATAAATTATTTAGAATTGCAAAACAATTATTTTGTTGTTATTAGTCGTACACGCTCTGTATAGCATTCAGTTACTGCTCAAAGAGTAGATTATTTGATTAACACCACTGGGAATTTTGGTGCTCGGCCATGTGTTTAGTTTTCAAAACGAATAAAATATTTTTATTTTTAATTTTAATGTTTCCTATATACTTTATACCATACTTTTCAATAACTATTAAATTAAAAAAAATATTTTAAGACCACTAAATGAAACGTTGTTTAATATATTTGTAGGGGTGATTTTTTTAACGTTAAATATTCAATTTCACGATAAATAATTTATGTATACGAAAATAGTGTTTAATTTTATTTTAAGCGGTTACTACTTTACATTTTTACAAAAAATTAAAATGAATTACTAATTACAACCGATCTTAAGTTTTTATTTCTTTTGAAAAATAAATTATATATATAGTTTAGATTATCTCCTGATTTTATGCAAAAAACATTTTTTTCTTAAATATTGTTATAAAAAAAAAATATAAAAATAACAAAAATGAGTGAATCAATATTTTACGGGAAAAATAAGTGTATTAAAGATATAAGAAATCAAATAATACTGAATTACACTTTTATATTGAAAAAATGAAAATAATTTTGGATAATTAATTTTAAATAAAATTAGTAGAAATAATTAGATTTTATTAGAACTTGGATCAAAGTTAATACTTCATAACTTGAAAAATAATAAATTTTATTAAAATGCTTTTAACAAAATATTTAAAATATTTGTTTTATTATATTAATAAATTGCAGATTATACATTACATTTGTTTTAATAAATATTTAATCGAAAATAATTTTGTGAATATTGTGAAATTGTTTATTGCTAATTTAATAAACAGTGGTTTACATTTCACTAAAAATTGGAAAACTTCAAAATTGTGTACTACTTATACTCAGTAAAGTAATTCCAAGTAATTCTAAATTATTTTTCTTAGGTATGCAATCGGTAAACATAATATTTTTGAGCTTATTTTTTTTTTTTTTTTTTTGTCTTATTTATTGAGTGGTAAAGAACTAAATTTTTGCAAGTTATTTTAATTATTATGAGGTTTTATGTTGACTAAAACGCTTTAGAGTTTTCAAATCATTATTTTCAGTAAACATGTCTGTAGTCTCACTTACATGTATGACTGATGTATGAAATTTTTGAATTTGCATGATGTTATATTTGTAAATATTGTTCAAAATTGGAATCACATTGAAGTATTTTATTGACTAACAACATTATAATTTTTAATTTTGTCTTGAAGTGATACGAATGCATATCAAAGTAGCTGTGAAACAAGATAATAATATAAATATTAACACGTAGTTAGTCATTGTGTAGTTTAAGAACATACTCGTACCTAACTGTCATCATCATCTAAAGGCTATGCTTTGTGATCATCATATGCAGTGGCGTATGTAGAGGGGGCCCAAATCTCGACCCCACCTGAAAAAAAAAGTACTGTTTAAAAATCATAAATGACTTGCTACGAAGGTGCAAAGAAAGATAACATTAATTTATATCATGTGATTGTAAATAACTCTTTATTTGAATTTATAACAATAATATAATTATTAATTTATACCTTATATATAATTTTTATATGATATTATAAAATCACTTATTTTTTAGAAAAATTTAAATGTTTAAAAATTCGCCATTGGCCATATGACTCTGTTTCTCAGCTATGAAATTGGATCTTATATCCATGAGGTGTTTAAGGTCTTAGAAATATGATGTTCTTAGGCGTCCTCTTCATCTTTTTCCCAAGATCTTTCCATCGAATATATTCCTAACAAATGAGTTATCAACAAGTACTTAGATCTAACAATATAGTAATATTATTTTAAAATCAATATACATATATATATAATTGTTATTATTTCTATATTTTCTTTGACCTCTATTTTAACTTTGCTTTTAAATGTATTTATATATTATCAGACTAAATCGCAAAGGTCGTATGTCTCAAAGTAAATTGTACATAGTCATAGAGGTAAGACTTTTTCGCTATACATACGACCATTACTTAAAATTCAGGTAGGATGAAACTAAGAAATCGAATATTCAATAATGTCTAACAACGCAATTTTTTTTTCTAATTTTTTAATTATTTTTTAACTAATCCTGAATAATCCGAAAATGTTATTTAATGGGATATGCGAAATTTGCGATTTATGTGGACGGTATATAATCATTTGATTTCTTTATTCGTTTGGTAGGGATATTTTGATATTGTTATTAATAATATTATATTTACAAATCGTACCTGAAAGTCGTTACGCAGAACACTTTTTGTCTTTATATAACTATTAAAATATAATACGACGTAGCACGCGTAATTTGCGGTTTTCTGTTGCCGTGTCCATACGCGCAATGATGTAATAGTCGACTGACAAAACGGAGTGTGGGAGAGAGAGAAGGGGAAAGGTTTGAATCGACTATCGTATAATATGATATAGAACACTTGTCTGTAATCATAATTAATGCCGTTTGAAGAGAGACAAGGATGTTGTATTATTTCGTCGACGTGATAAATATATAATTGTTGCGCGTGTATACCTAGTTTGCATGTACGAGACATCTCGTATCTGGTCGAGACGGATGACCACTGAAGCATAGAATCGTGCTAAGCTGCATTAAGTTCGTAATAATAATTACATGAGCAGTGCATGCAGTGGTGTAACTGGGAAAAAATCTAGGGGGGCAAAATAATTTATTAACCATGATCAAAATCCTAAGCCCCTTGTTTTAAGTATATTTGTATTATATTTATTTTATACACTATACAGAATACCTGAACAATTTATTAAAAATTGAATTAATACTCATTGCTTTGGGCGTCAGTAGTTTTTTTTAAATTTGTATAACATGAAATTGAATAATGTCAACTGACGTTTATTAGACATTTTTTTAAGATGTAATTAATAATTATTAACAAATTACAGTAGAAGAATAAGTAAGTAAAGAATAATAAAACAGTATAGTCTATAGACTTTCAGTATTTAAATTAAATTTTTCATTATTTAAATAATTATATTATTTAACATATTATAAGTTAACATTGTACTGTGATAGTGTTCTTCAGTGTTTTACTGAAATAATTATAAAAACAAAATATATTATATTATGTACATTATTTCTTAACTTATGATAACAGCCCCTCAGGGGGGTGCTAAGGAATTAGCACTACGGGTTTGGCGAACCCGGGGCCCCGAGCTAAGTACTGAACTTACTTTAATTAGTTGGTTCATTTCTCTCTACTCTGACCTTAATTGGTGGGAGTAGTAAGATCCTCCCTTTTGGGAGTTGTCGTAAGGCCAATCACCTTACACGGAAAAAAACTCTGATTATGAAACAACAACAGCAATTGCCTCGGACATTGGAGCTATCGGATATAACAATTGGAACCTGGAACGTGCGATCTCTATATAGGACCGGAGCTTTGACGACAACTATATCATGCCTTGAACGATATAAGTTAGATATTACTGCAATTCAAGAAGTGAGATGGGAAGACTCAGGGAGTATAACATCTCAGAGGATGACAATGTTTTATAGTGGAGGAACGAAACATAAACGAGGAGTAGGCTTCATAGTGAAAGATAAAATCTTGCCGAACATAGTAAATTTTAAATAAATAAACGACCGCCTATGCATATTAGAACTTAAATGTAAGTGGTACAACGTAATAATGATTAATTGTTACGCACCAACGGAGGACAAACACGATGACATAAAAACTGCTTTCTATGATGAGTTGGAAATACTATATGATAGTCTACCAAACTGGAAACCAAAAATAGTACTAGGAGATTTCAACGCAAAAATAAGCAAAGAAATAATGTATAGACCGACAATTTGGAAAGAAAGCCTACACAGAGAAACGAATGAAAATGGTAAGTATGCTTATTATATTTGCGTCAAACAGAAATATGGTCGTAAGTAGCACAATGTTCCCTCATAAAAATATACACAAGCAGACATGGATATCACCATGCGGTAGGATAAGGAACCAAATAGACCATGTACTAGTAGACAATCGTATAAGGTCAAACATCATAGATGTAAGAAGCATGAGAGGAAGCAGTGCAATATCAGACCACTTCCTGGTAAGTGTTAAGATACATTTTAGAATATCAGTGGAAAAACAGAGAAGAAATTCCGGAAAAAAACGAATTAACAAAGACATATTGAAAAGTAATGTAGTAAAATTATATCAGGATAGACTGAATGAAGAATTACAACGAATAAACCAGGAATCAGACATAAATAATACATGGGAGAAAGTAATGAAAGTAATCAAAGATACATCGGAAAGAATATTGGGAAACACACAAAAGGGGAAAAAAACAAAATATGGTTTGATGAAAACTGCAAAAAAGCCTTAGAAATAAGAGACAAAGCTCGCCTAAATGTGATACAGAATCCGAGTAATGAAAACAAAAGAACTCTAGCAAGTAAACAAAGAGAAGCAAAAAAAACAATAAGAATGGCCAAGAGACTATGGGAAAAACAAAGAATTACAGAAATAGAAAATAACAACAACAAAAATAATATAAAAGCTTTCTTTGAAAAAATAAAGAACGTAAAAACTGGTTATAGGCCGAAAACATTGATGATAAGAAAAGATGACGGAACCATTATAACTGATAAAGGTAAAATAGCAAATGAATTTAAAAAGATGTTTGAAGAGATGTTGAATCAACAAGAAAATAGGACCACAATAAAAGTTAATGTAACGGCGGAAGAACTATTGGACAAACCAACGATACAAGAAATAGAAATGGGATTAGAAATGCTGAAAAATAGAAAGGCCCTTGGAATTGATGAAGTAGTCCCTGAATGCCTAAAAAAAGGAGGAAAGAAGCTGACTCAACAACTCCACAACCTAATTACTGATATATGGGAACAGGAGGAGATTCCAGAATCATGGAAAATGTCTGTCCTATGCCCGGTACATAAAAAGGGAGATAAAATGGATCCGAAGAACTATAGAGGAATTTCTCTGTTAAACACTTCGTACAAAGTATTATCTAACTTCCTATTAAACAGATTGAAACCATTTATTAAAGAAGTTATTGGAGAATACCAGGCAGGATTCATGGTAGGTAAATCGACTATAGATCAGATTCATATAATAAAACAAGTTGCAGAAAAAAGCCATGAATTCAATAAAGACGTACATATGCTATTTGTGGATTTTAAAGCAGCATACGACTCAATAGATAGAAATAAATTGTGAAATGTAATGGCCCGGATAGGAATACCAGAAAAGCTTATAAGAATGATCAAAACGTGCGTACAAGGCTCTAAATGCAAGGTGAATTTTGGAGGAGACTACTCAAATGAATTCCTAGTGTCGACAGGTCTCAGACAAGGAGACGCTTTGTCATCGGCTTTGTTTAACATTGCCTTAGAGTCAGTGGTGAGACAAGTCCTTAGCAAGGCGAAAGGAATAAAAATCAGTGATAACCAACAGCTTGCAATTGTAGCCTATACTGATGATCTAGTGTTAACCACAGAAAATAAGGAAAGTCTAAAACAATCTGCAAAAGAACTAATAAGGATAGGGGCAGAAATTGATCTTAGCGTAAATGAAGAGAAAACAAAATATCTAATATTGTCCAGGAATCATCACACGGCAAGAAATTAAGAAATAGAAGGTTATTCTTTTGAAAGAGTAGAACACTTCAAATACCTTGGAGCGCGGGTGAATGAAAACGCGAATAGTCACGAAGAAATAAGAGAGAGGTTGATAGCAGCAAACAGATGCTACTTTGGACTATCAACACTTTTCAAATCCAAATTACTCTCAAGAAGATCAAAGATAACATTGTACAAAGTTTTAATTAGACTCATAATACTATACGCATGCGAGACATGGGCAACCACCAAAACGGATGAAAACAAATTGGGTGTTTTTGAAAGGAAAATACTCCGACAGATTTATGGACAAAAAAAAAAAAAAAAAAAAAATGATGTAGGTGATTTTGAAGTCATGACAAATGAAGAGTTAAGAAGTTTTTTGGAGAAGCCAATATTATAGGAATTATGAAGAGTTATAGATTAAGATGGGCAGGTCATGTTTGGAGATCGGAAGGAATACTGGGGAACATAACGAGATGGAGACCGAGCACGAAACGGCCCAGAGGACGACCCAGGACAACAGTGGACAGATAGAATTAAGGAAGACCTCAAAATAATAGGGATAGAGAATAGAGAAGAAATGTCAAGGGACAGAGAGAAGTGGAGGGATGTTGTTGATGCGGCAATGGACCTTAATGGTCTTTAAAATGCCTAGAAGAAGAAGAATTCAAATATTTGTATTGTTGAATTATCTGGGGGGGGGGGCAAAATGATACCTTTGTCCCTCTCAAAGTTATCTGGGGAGCACTTGCCCCTCCCCACACAAGTGCCACTGAGTGCGTGCATTTAGTGTAGTGTAGTTTCATGAACAACATATGTGAATCGCATGATGGTGTGCAATTTCATAGCTAAACAATTGACGACAACGTTCTTCTTTTGTTGTTTATTCGGAAATGCATGGCCGTGTGTTGATCCATAGTCTTGATAACACTTCCGATTTTCCAGGATCTTGTGTTTAATACAATATTTTTCGTTTCGAAAACAGTAAAACAGCGGTGTGCACAAAAAGCTTACGCCGGTGGCACGTTTGTAATACTACCCATGTTTTATACTGTACGGTAAAATCTCAATTATTTGTTTCTTTATCTCTGTTACTCTCCCCCAATGGTGCACAGTAGATTTTTGACAAGGGTGCCGAAAATATATACTTCGAGGTACCCACCTACCTCCCCCTGTAAAGTATGAGTTCAGGCATAGTGTAATTCTTATTTTTAAGTGTTTTTGGTTTTTTCTTACTAACAAAGATACTAAAAATAAAAACTTTTAAAATATAACCTAGTATTAATTATTTTTCAATTTTTTGGGTATTAATTTATGTTTATATAGCATAATTTTTGAGATTGAGCCCTACTACTTGTTCTCATGTGACACTTTAGTTCTAGGATAACCATGATTTGGATAGCAGAAAAATTGGTTTGTATTAAATTAAACAAATATTCATAAAAGTTCACACAGAACTAGTCACTAATTCTCTGAGGGGTGTCAGTCGACACCCCTGACCCTCCTTGTATGCGCCACTGCTCTCCCCCAAATCTCTCTCTATCTATCTTTCTCTTTTTTATCCACCAACTTATTATTTTTGTTATGTTCCGTTATCCGTCGTCACAACGTTATTGTCTATTATTGTTAAAATATAATCTACTGCATATCACCCACCTGTATATCTATTTCTACTACTACGTGTTTGTATATCCTTATGTCTTAAAAAATACTTGTTGGTTCAAATGGTTATACTTTATCTTAATCATAGCCCTGATTTATGTATACTATCAACATTATGTTTTTTTTCTTTTATCAGTCTGATTCGCATTTTCCAGAGAGCATTAACGAGTTAAAATGATTAATTATTTAACGAGTTAATTTCTTTTTTCAAAAGTTACTTCTAACTTAACGAATTACATTTTTTCTCAATTAAAAGTTAAGCATTAAAAATATAAAATACATTTTTTTTTGTACAAGTCCTTTTTTTTAAATAAAAATAATCGAAGCAACAATTGCAGAAGTGATGATTGCTTTATATCTAAATTTCAATTGAGATCAAAATAACATACATAAACATAGATTCAAATAAATATCATATTATTATTATTATCATTATAATTGTTATTATTTAATTTTTAAAAAATGTAACTTATTTTTGATGTGGTTAAGTTTTTTTTTTTTATTTTACTTATAACTTTAACAAGTTAAATTAAAAAAAAGTGAATTTTCACATTAAACTAAACTTGCGTTTCTCTAGATTAACTTCACTTCATGAGTGAAAACTATTAGCTAACTTACCTAGTTAGTCCCTTGGTCCCATTTCAAACGAATAATCGAATTGCAAACAACTGCGTGCAGTCTGTAGCCGTGGCGGCAAAACGCTGTTTAATTTTTTCGTAATGCTCATTTTCAAATGCCGAGCGCCAATAATTTGTTCGGCGGACTTAACGTTCCTTCTTCTCGATCAGATCGATCGATGCGCAAAGAAAACATTATTAAAAATGTATAAACTTTGTCTTTGGATAAATCATCAATTGAAATGCAAACAGGTGCTCCTCGGCAAGTTTTAAACCACACTACGACGAGTGTGCCCACGGAAAATTTTGCTTGAAATAGGTATATATAGATAAACATGTAAATTACAAATAATTTTAGAACATTTGATAAGGACAAAGTTTATTTAATACGTATTTCGCATTCGACTCATTTTTGTTTCTTACTCGATAAGAATTTTTATATTATTGCTTTCCAAGTCGTATATTTGATTTGTTTATCATTATTTTATGATTATTATTGTTATTATTATAATTTCACATTGTTTTTTTATCAACGTGAACGAATTACTTCGATGTAGTGTACATTGTACAACGTTCTATGCACATTATTTTAATTAATGGAAGTGCATTATTACAACATTATATTTAATATAAATAATAGTTCATTCTTATTACAAGGAGTCGTTAGATTGAATGTTTTAATAATCAAAATTGATATAACTTTATTTCCATAATCATAACTATATATTGTTTTGTAATTTTATGCTTTATTATTCGGAATTTTACTATTGTTCATTCTTAAAATACTGTTTTTTCAACCTATATGTTAAAAAATGTTTTTATTAATATTTTTGTTGGAAATATTTATCTGAAAAATAATTAATGATACTTGTACGAATGTTTCTTAACATAAATTATAATTTTTTTTTTTTTTTTATATATATAGGAAAGCGGAATCGGACTATTGGTGACCATCAAAGTGGACGAACGAGGATTTTTCTTGTACTGGATTGATCAGAAAAAAGTAAAACGCATTACTTTATAAATGTTGGACCTCCGTAATGACTGAGTTTATTATATCCATTTGTTTTCACTATTTTTTGTCAGGACTGCGAAGTGATTGACATGTCGATGATACGAGACACCAGGACGGGAAAATATGCCAGGGTCCCTAAAGTATTTTCATTTATTATATATATATATATATATATATTTATGTGTGTGTGTGTGTGTGTGTGTGTGTGTGTGTGTGTGTGTGTGTGTGTGTGTGTGTGTGTGTGTGGGGGTGTGTGTGTGTGTGTGTGTGTGTGTGTGTGTGTGTGTGTGTGTGTGTGTGTGTGTGTGTGTGTGTATTTTATACACGGAAGTGAACGTGTACAACTATTTGATGAATGATTTTACGTCCCTCGGTTTTATTTAGGACGCGAAATTGAGAAGTGTGGTGTGCATGGGGTCCCAAGAGCCATTGGGCGATAAAACGATTACCGTCGTCGTGGCCACGGATTTTGTGAACGTGTCATTCATTAATTTCTGTTGCAATAAAAAGCAAACGGCCCAAGTAAGCATATATTACATAATAGTAATAATAATAACAATAATAATAATAATTTTTCATCAAAGCATCGTGACTAACATTTTAATCATATAATATTGTTAATTAAATTTGAACATAAAAATAGATGCTTAAAATAGTTGGTTGTTGATTATATGATTGATGACTACTCACGTTTACACGATTTTGTTTTTAAAAAATATTTAATGCGATTTATTTTTGTCTATCACACGTGTAACAAATAAATGTAAATATTTTCAATTTCTAACGTACGGATCGATCTATAACAATGCAATACAAATTTAAAAAACAGATTTTAATTATCCACCCAGTTTACATGAGAATGTAATTCGTCTTATTTTTAATCTTATCCTTGTATAAATTCCATCAACATCGATTGAAAATATTTTGAATTTTAAAGTTAACATTTTCAACGTTTTTTGAACTTGAGGTGGTTAAAATAAGAATAGTGTGAGTCTTTTCCTAAGTGGACTTAACTACTAATTTCAAATATTTTCTCAAAATCCGTATTTTAACATTTGATCGATCGTTACGTTGGAAGTATAAAAACGTCTAAATTTTTATGTTACACTTATGATAGATCAAGATGAAAAATTACCACTTCTAATCCACTTAATAAAGTTTTGAGGAGGATATATTGTTTCAATATCACATTAGTTTACATTTATTAAAATAAGTATACTAATAACCATTGATTACGTCTCAAGACGTGGTATTAAGCGATGAGATGCATTTTATAAAACACTTGATATTATTTTATACATTAAATTTGCATAATACGCATATTTCAATTTTATAATTACCTTAATAAATTTATTACATTGCATTAATTACACTACTGAAAAAAATTTAAAGTTGTAATCGAAGATTTGATAGCAGAGATTCATTATATTATACTTTCATTATAATATTTACTAAATTAGTTATTAAATATTTTTTAATTTTAATGTTTATTATTATTATAAGATATTAAGTTTACTTTGGATATATTTTTTTAAAAACGTTTAGATATTTAACATACCTTACTTTTACGTTTTAAACTTTATTGTAAAATATTATTATATTATAGAACCTAAATATGAAGTTTAATAAAAACTAATTCTCTGAACATTTTCTCGTACATATATATATATATATATTAAATTTTGAAGCTAAGTTAGTTGAATAGTTTTAATCATATAAAGTTAAGAGAGCTATGAAAAGTGGAAGTATGAAAAATATTGATAGAGATAAAATGGTTTCTCAGATATTTATTCCCTCTATTTTTTTTTTTTAGTACTGATAGTATTGATGCGTTGAGAATCTGAATATTATGAAATCGTTAAAATTAGCAAAACAAAATGTATCCATATTAAAATAACATCAAAATGTGTAGGTTTAAAAAAAATCAGTTTAGTTTTACCAACAGTTAGAGAAAATATATTAGTATAAATATTTGTGGATATAAAAAACAATACGGCAACTGGTTTTTTTTTTTTATATATTTGGATGCTGTAGTTTGACAGCTTACATCATAACAATTAACATATAATGTGGAAATATTATGTGTGATTTTAATATTTTTTATTTTTACATTGATTTATGTATTTTGTATAGTGCAATCAAACGTTTTATTTACCGAATATTCATGCAAAACAAAACATTTCAAGTATTGAGTTAACTGTCAAACTTTTTGCATATTAATTATTCTCATTAATAATGCCTTCATTATATAACACCTTTACTTTTTAGGTGATAAAATACGAGTCTTTCATTTTTCTTTAGTTACACGTTATTTTTATTTCTATTTCTTACCTAATTAATTTTAGCTTAATTTAAACTTATACGAGTATATAATTAAAATACTAGGACCAATGGGAAAAACCTAATGGAAGACAAACTAATGTATACATTTAAATTTTAAATACTTCATATTTTATTACTCCGAACCAAGTGTAGATTTATAAGTTACTCTAAATTAATATCCATGTCTTTACTATTCAGTTCTACAGGAAATATTTTATATACGTCTCAATTTTTTGCAGTACTATGATACTTTACTGTTTTTTAATGTCTCTTTGTTAAGTTATTAGAGAAATTTGTGTTGGGATAAATATTTTATGAACTACAAACTATATCTACGTATAAAACGTGAGTTGGCTTATTTCATAATATTTAATTTTTTTTTTTTTAAAAATGTTGGTATTTTTTCATATTTTTAATAATTCAATAACTTATGATAATACAATTAATTAAATAGTTAAAAATACGGATGAACTGGAATTTTTTAAATGTACATTATCAAATTTATTTCAATTTTAATTAATTTTAATTCATCGTTTTATGTATTCATGATTAAAAGAATAAAAAATATCTCTTATGTAGTATAATCTTTGAGTTTACAGAGAATAAAACTAAATTTTACGATGTATTTACTCATTAAATAATAATATTAAAATATTGACCTTGGTAATAAATAATTAATTAATTAATTACCTACTAACAATAATTGAATCAAAGTAAATATTTCCATTTTACTTTTTAAGTTCGTATCAAAGAGTATTTTAAAAATGTTATTAGGGAGGAAATGATTTTAATTCATTTAAAATATCTCATTTCAAAACGTTATTGGGGTCCGAATCAAGTCGTGGAATCTTACCTATTCAGTGATAATAAGTTACACTCGCTTAGATTCGTATTAATAACTGGATGTCAATAGGAGTAGCCACAGCACCGGAAAGATAAATTGATTGTGGGTTCACATTTTTTGTGTCTATAATGGCACTATACTCGTACGTGTTTTTAATTTATAGAAATATAAGTACGATTTCCTTGCATTTATGATCTTATAATATAATTTTAATATGTAAACTGCACTGCACTTTTTAATTTCATTATTTACAAAATTTAATTTCCTAACATGCATAAATAATGTAAGTGTTCACAATAAATATATTATTGACTATATCATTTTGAAATACATTTAAACTATTATGTGCCAATGTGAGTGTGTTTCATTATTCAATTGAATAAAAAGTTTTGTGTATTAATAAGAATGAACGTAAAAAAAAAATAAACACGTTCGAAATTCTAATTAGTTTGTATTATAATTGTATATAAACTCCGTACGTATATAATTATAATATTCTAAAATCTAGGCTATAGAGTAGTGGGCTTCATAAATGAGTAAATAGTACGGCATTCCAATACTTATCAATTATCTAGTTATATCATTGAAATATAATACGGGTAAACATATAATTATAATCCTCAAAATGATGTAAAGTGTATTAATTGTGGCCTTGAGATAATAGTTAGGGGTAAGAAATATGTTGATCAAACTGAGTATAACAAAATAAACATGTTTATTTTATAAAATGTCATTATAGAATAATTGGATAAAATATATTTGTTAGTTAAATTTATTATATTTAAAATTACCTTAAAATGTGTCCAATTCCTGTAAACAGAACTAACTAACAGAACACTGTTAACTATTTGTGTAATTGTTGGCGCTCAAAAATTAAAAAAATAGTCATAAACAATTCAAAATAAGTTGCAAAATTTAAATACTATTTTTCTAAAGTCGTTTATTTTTTAATTGTGCTCTAGATGAATGGTTTACTACGTTATACTAAATTAAAGCACAATAATATAAACTACTATTATTATTAGATACATATGTATATATTATTATTATTATTATTACCATATTGCTTATACAATTAATTGTCTATCAAATTAGATTTAAGTGTAAGAATTTTAATTTTATTTTTGATCATAATATAGTAAAGTAAGTTCAAAGTAAACAAAGTCATTTTTAATAATGGTTTCTAATTTCTATTTTAGTATAATGCAATTTATACATAATTATAAGATAAAATAAATAATATAGTTATTCTGTATAGGTACTTTTCCTTTTTTGATTTTATTTTACCTATTAATGAGGTTAAATAACATAATTAAGTATATTTTTTACGTAAGTTTATAAACAAATTGAATGAACAAATTTATATGCACGAGATAACATGGTTTAAGAATCTTATTGACTATAACAAATTATATTTATTTTAATACTTTGGCTGATTGAATTATTAATGTAAATAATTTCTGTCCGTTTTGAATATCCTAATAAATAGATATTTAAAATAATTCAATTCATTAATTTCGGGAAATAAATTATTATTTGATGATTAATATTTTCTTTTACAACTTATATCGTGCATGTTCCATATGAATTTAATGTAAATTTTAAAGATTACTCTATATATAAATGTTTGAAGTTCATTTAAGTGTAATGAAATAAAAGCTATAATAAATGAAGTATAAATAAACATATTTTATCTTTTATTTTTATTTTGATATTTGTTAAAAATAACTAAATATTGATTCTAAGATAAGATTGCTATCCGAATAAAATATATAAATATATAATATAAATACATTTTCCATATGAAGCAGTCAGATTTGCCCACTATTATTATTACCGCAATCGTTTGTAAGAATGATTATTTAATTTAATGTTGACTAATAAATGATAGGTTTATATTGAAATTAATTAATTTTGAATCACTATTTATTGTAATATAAAACATAAGGTTGAAAATATTAGTGTTTCGCCAATGTTTTATACAATTATCATGTATAACAATAAGTACTTAATAACTGTAACAATAAAGATAAGTTAAAAAAGTATGATATTCTTTAAAGAAATTAAACGTAGGTATACTTTATACCGCAGCGTATGTTCTCTCATTGTTTAGAAAGTGCTTCCACGAGGGAGACATCTTAAAAAAAAACATGTACTTTATATACATTGACGTACCCTCAAAATTTACGTCAAAGTATGTGTACAGCTGTGCTCTTTACAAAAAAAGACGATTTTTTAATCCAGATTTCTCTTGGGAAAGGAGTATATCTTTGTGTACCAGCGGTATGTCTACGTACTGCTACTGTTATGAGGACTTAAAAAATGAATTAACAATTGACTTGGCAAAAAAGAAAAATGAATTATTATACTAAAGTTGTTTCTTTCCCATTTAAAATTGTGTACAATTTAATAACAGGTCACGTCTAATATTAAAATCAAACAAATTTGTTGTTAAAAGCACTAAGTTTTAAATTACATTTATTATTTTAAATGCTTACTCTCATTTGTTTTCAATTAAAAGAAAAAAATCTAATATGAGGCAATCCTTAATGCCAGTTCGGACACCTGAATTGAATTAAATTGTATTAATTTTAAAATAAGAAATATTACCATCAACATGGATATATATTCTATTATATACCAGATAGCTCTGTTTAACTTTATTTTGTTGTAAAAATATGTTAGTACTAGGGAATGGATTTATATGTAATGAAAATACAGAAATATGTACATATATATGTAAGTATAATTTATAAAATATATGCTAAAAATATCCAAATGTGAAAGAAAAAAATTGAATTAAAAAAAAAAAAATTATAATTATTAAATTATCAAAACGATTTGTTGCATTGAATTATTACAATATCTTTTAAATTATCAAATATTAAATGAGGCCTATTAAATCTGAAAATATTTTTTAAACGGCTAAATGATTGTTCCACATCTACCTACATCGGTTGATTGAAGCATATTTGATTCGCATAATATCAGAAGACGATAATTCCAAATTTTTAGAAGGGTGTCTGCCACTCATTATGTCATTGATTGATTTAAAATCAATATAGCCTAGAATTTTTTTCTGTAGCAGCATAAATTTTCTTTTTTACAATATTTCCTATTGGTCCGCTTACGAGTTTAAATTTTTCAATCGTTGATTCGACAATTTGCATACTATCGTTTAAGGACATATTTTTGTTTCTAATTTTGTAAATGTATGTGCAATAAAACTAAAACTCACTGAGATGAAAATTAAATTAGTTTTTAATGTTTTATTTTTCATAATATTTTGAGTTTTTTAATAGCGATACTGGATCTAAATTTGAAATAATTTCTTGTATTTTCGTAAGAAGAAGATGTATGAATGATGAAATGATAAAATATGTTTAAAAGTATTTACAAATTATTGTAAATATGTAAAAATATGTAATTATACCAAAATATGTAAAAATATGTAAAATTAAAGTAGCATTATATTAATAGGAATGATTTAAATCATGAACATTTACTATCGAATCTTAAATATTTCGTTTTAATAAAAATATGCATTTACATATAAATCCGTTCCCTAGTTATGACCAAGAACCGTTATAACTGAATGGTTTAATAAAATAATTATATTTTACGATAGATGATCGTTATAAAATTGAACGTTTATAATTATTTTCAAGTTATTAAAGCATATAAATTTTTGACCTCGTGGCTTATTGCATTATTTATTTTTAATATACAGCTAATTTTAGTTTCCATGCATTATGTTATTATTATGTTATTATTTTATGTTCTATTCGATATTTTGAGGCATCTACTGATAAAGTGTTACTGGCCAATAGTTAACATAAATTATGTTAATACCTTTGTACATCATAATAAACATTAACTCAATAATTTCCTGGTTTTATTATTTGCTTAGTGATAATTGTCGTTATTATCATGCTAATTCGTATTGATTCTACTTTATATTACATAATTTATTTAGAGTTAATGATTTTTATTATCAGTATTTTGCATCTACAAATATTATATCTATATTTTATGCTTTAAAAAAACCGATAAAAATAGTATGATTTTTAGAAATAATTACTTTATGTCCGTGTATTATAACAACATGTAGAGTAAAATATTAAGTACCTATTTGTATACATTAATAATTTACAATAATGAAAACAAAAATATCAACTAGAATTTTCAACGTAATATTATATTATGATAGGTGTATGAAGTATCATAAATTATAATTATCATATCTTTAAAAATATTATGAATGTAAGTTATAATTCAATAATTATTAGTCTATTTATTTTAATAAAAAAAAGAGAATATTTGAATATTTTAGTTATTTTTATTTATGAATCGTTATTTAACCATGTAATGATAAATAAAAAATAAAAACTTAATTTGTTTCAAAATAAAAATAATTTCAAATTAAAAACATGATGGATGAAACATAAATTCGTTTACTGTTTAAATTTTGGACTTTTCTGTATTAAGCAGTAACTATGATGAAAAAATTTGAATTACCAATGCCATAAAACCCCATAGTCACATATAATAATATTTTATGTTCCCCCGCGTACGTTATTTATTATTTATTTCCATTGTATGATACTTTATTATTATTTTATACTTATAGGCTTAGTGCATTACTGTTTACGTTGTGTCTTTGTAATATTGTTACATTGTAACAGCTATTGAATAATTAAAATTATAACTTTGACACACTTTAACTCTCCTTATTTGACATTAACAATACATAATGATGAATTTATACATTAACTATTTGTTGATATCACTATTTTTTATTTGCCTATAATTTTATTAAAATTGGGAGGGGGGGAATTTTGTATTCAGCAAAATTTTTTTTTCGTACATAATCATATGTAATCATATATCTTTAAAGCAAAAGTATGAAAAAATTTGTTTGTACTATATTTATTCTGATTTATTATTAAAATATGATATTTTTTATTAAATACACTTTAAATAAAGACAATTTTAATTAAAAAAAGTAATTATAGTTTTTTTTCTGTTAATATTTTGTTTCGTAGCCATACTTACAATCAATCAATCGCAAACAAATAATATTAATATACTATATTTTGTATAATATCGTCAGAGAAATGTCTACAGTTTTTCTATAAAAAAAAATTTAAAAAAATACATTACTGAAAAAATCAGTGTAATAGAAATTTAATAAAATTTGTAAATTTTATCATTACAATATTTTTATGTAACCAGTATTTACTGGAGTATTTTGATTATTTTAAAATGTAATTATGCAAATTAAAGTTTGGTTTTTTCGTATTTTACAAGTGGAATTAAAATTTTAAGAATAAATAACTCGTTATTAAAACTTTTATCATAAACACATAAATAATTACATGATTTAATTTAAAATTAGTAGTATGTGCAATTTGTTTATAACTTGAAATACTAAACAAAAGTTACATTTTTGTTGTTTTAAAAAAAATAAAAAAAAAAACCCATTATATTTGCTTTACTTAATTCTACTTTAAAGGATTAAAAACAATATTCAACTTATGCTATTCATAAATAAGTTTTTTTTAATATTTTATGGTACAATAAAAATATAAAATCATTTTTTAAAACAATAATTAAAGATATTTATGTAGCATCTTCTATGTAGTTTTTATGATTTTAATTAAGGACGCAATTTATAATAGTAATTTAAGTTAATTTTTTAGTTACTATAATTTAGTAAATCTATAATTTTAATACATTTTCCTGAAAACAATCAAAATTAAATTACCGTAAAATTAATATCAATTTGCGTTCTTTTGGATTTTTTTGGTACTTGTTAAAATATTTTATTTAATAAATTGATTAGTATACATAAATATACATAAAGATATTATGTATATTTTCAACTAATAATTAATTTAAAAAATATGTTTGTGTATTTGACAATTTACTATACTATAATATACCAACTTTAGATTTAACCATTTTAAGTGCCATTATGAATTACGATGTCTGTATATTAATTTAAAAGTTTACAATGGTTAAACATTATTGTTATCATATCATTAATTGTTATTTATCTCACTCTATTTAGATATGGACGGATGGACTTTTGAAGCTCGCTTTAAACTTGGTGCAGCTGAACTGGTCACCGATAGCGTTCTTGCACAAAACTCACACTAAATTGAATTTGCTAGTCGACAAAAATGGCAAAATTCCAGTGAAAAAGTGATTACTATATTTTTATTATTCAAAGATACATAAATATGTAAATAAAGTATACTTATAAAATAGCCCATCACTAATCGAGTATTCGGTTCTTAAATACGTGTAGTATAACATTTGAATTACTTATTAGATATTTGATATCTGGATTTATATGATTTAGCAATGGAAAAAGTAAAAATGTACAAGGTGAATAACTCAACGAAAATATTATAATACCTATATTAATTGTATTGCAAAATATATTATTTTTAATAATCATTTTTTATAAGTTTTTTTTTTTTTATATATTTCAAGAAATCATTCCATTTACTTTTATTTGAAAATAGTTTTTCCATTTTCTTATTACTTTAACATTTATTTATGCAGTCGTTCAATTTAATTTTATCGTTAAAAACGTATTCATTTTTCAGTAAAGTTCCAAAAATATTACAAAATAATTGTACACCCTTTATGTAGAAATTACTACAAAGTAAACAGTTTATCTCATTAAACGTAATATTGGACCGTATAACTTCGAGCACAAGTTCCCATTTTCCCAAAACAAATAATATAAACGCCCTTGTGCACCTTTATATAGTTTACTACCAAACAATTGTCCAATAAATTATTAATGACTTTTGACTAAACACAAATGAAAACGCGCCTTAACGATTAATTACAGACGACGAATTCAATAATTATTATCATGTTTGTAATTTTTTGTAATGATTAACTTATCAAATTAGCGTTTGATCAATACTATAATCTAGTTACTTTTTAATTAATTTAAAATATAATATTGTTAAAGCCTTGCTCCGATGAGTGAGAGAATTCTACACAGAGTTTGAGTTTCAATTTCTTCTTTTTTAAATGTTTATTTTATGGAAAAACTTCTTTTTTTTTTGTTACTCTAAAAAGACTTACATTTTTCATTTCAATTTGGTTTTTTGATCGCTGATCATAAAATAAGTGATTATAAGTGTTCAAATTTCTCAGTATTAAAAAAAAAAAAAAACAACTACAACTAAAAGATTTGCGACGAATACGACCGTTTTTAACAACATTAAGATTGTTTCGAAACAAACCTAAATGTTTGCATTATCGTTTTCCAAATGTGATAATTTATCATTGTTTTTAATACAAAATAAAGTTTTTTGCAGAATTGATCGGAATCCAATATCTAGTGTGTATCACTGTATCTTGTCCGTATATACTTTTGAGTTTTTTGTTTGCAAAAGCAATTCGTGATAACTCGAAGACAACGAAAAATATTTCAAGTAAAATAAATTAACAAATTATAAATATATTTCAATGGATACATAACGATAACTTAAGTTTTCGAGTTGATAAAGTTTTGAGTTAAATACAATTTTAAGTATTTACAACTTACTATTATAATAATGATAATATAAGAAAAAATTTCCCCTCTGTCGTCTCCGATATTATTGTACACTTTTATTTCGCATATCTATCCGTTTCGTTAAATTATTTATTCTTTGTACATTTTTCATTTCTTTGTCGAATGAACATAATTATCCATGCTTTAATTGACTGGATAATTGAATACGTATTACAATCTTAACATAAATAAATGCTTATTATTATATTTAAGTACCGTAATAAAGTTTGAATTGTTTTAGTCGATTAGTTGATATTAAAATATAAAAATATAAGTTTTTATAATGTATTCATAGAAAGTTCAAATAACAACTACGGTTAACTTTATATCTATATTCATATTTATGTGCATATTTCTTATAAATGAATTTTTACTTATTTATGAATGTTAATTTTAGTATTCTCAAAACGTTCACGCAAAACAAAGAAGACAGGAAGAAAGTGGAAAAAGCCATGGAATCATCTGGATTACCTTCAAACAAAGTGCGAAAATATAATAAAAAATCAAATTATTATGATAATTATTAGAACTAATGTTAATTGATATGTCCAGAATGATTTCGTTAGTCCGACAAAGTTTACGTTTGAAGATTTTTTCACATTCTACAAAAATGTCACTGTTCGGCCTGAAGTCGCACAATTATTTGATGAGGTGTAAGTAAATCACCATATTATATAAATAGCATTAAAATAAAAATCCTATTATATAGTAGACAATTGCATAATCATAGTTTAAAGACGTTTAATAATGAAAGGACATAAATGCATGTTGTTTTTAATATTATATTATTTTTAAACTCTACAGTATTTGACAGTTGTAGATAATATGATAAACTTATATTTTATGGTGCAAACTTTATTTGATACGTGCCTATTTATGAAACAGGTGGGTTGTTTAAAATTACTTTTTATCATATGATCTATAAAAAAAAAAAAATCAAGTACACCTACGTTTCAACTGGAATATAAAATTGAATGTTGTTGGATATAATGTTTATCTTTTAGTGCCTCTAAGCTATTTTTTTTTTTAGATAGTTTATACATATTTCCCTGTTTTGCAGTATTATTTACTTGTATTATATAAACAGAAAAATTATAGCAAGTAAATAAATGACTTAAGTTTAATAATTATTGGATTACAATTTATTTATTAAAACATATAATTGTATTTATAAAAAATCTAATGAATTACTAATAAAATATATTTTGTTGATAATATTATTTCATTCATTTGCATTAGCTAAAACTAATAGGTATAAAATTCCATGGAAAAATTTTAAATTTTCAAAATAAACAAAACACAATTTCTTATATATACGTAACTTTTAAACGTTAATTTATGAAACATTCAGTCCGTAATTTAACTTTAAATTAGATAACATGAATGATGAGGTAGTGATTTATATTGTTACATAATATAAACAAGCCACTCAATTGTAGCACTTTATCTTAAAATAATCCTTTTTTTGTTTTGGCTGTGAATTGGATGAGAGTAGTTAGAAGAATAGTTTATTGAGATTAATAAGTCTCTGAAATTCTCTTTAATTTTTCTTGGAGGTTGCCATATATGGAGACGGAATCTAGTTCAGAAATTATGAAAAAATTTCAATATATTAGTTAAAACTAACGATTTTCCATTACACAAGATTATATTACATTAGTTCTAAATTTCATCACGTATTGCAACTATAGTATTTAACATTTTGAAGTTCCACGGTTCTTGGTAAAATTGTTAATGTTTTAATATATTTATAGAAAAATGGAAATGAAAAAACTTCAAATAATTTTTTTTCGTAATTGTTCATATGTATTATTTTCGTATGCTGCAGTTTTTATTATAGATAATTATATAATATAATAGTATAGAATAATTAATAATAATAAATAATAATAATTAATAATTATATATGAATATTAATAACAAAATATAGCGCGTTATTGTGACAAACATTTGTATCAAATATTGTTAAATATATTTTGAAGATTGTTGATTAAATTCAACCTTATTTAAAAAAAACAGGTATATTTATTTTTTAATACTTTATTGCAGTTCTGTAACAATATTATATAACGATGATTAAAACGCAACTATTTTATTTATCTAGATAAATATCATAACAAAAATTAATATTGTAAAGGAGTTAAAACTATTTTTATGTAAATTAAAATAATTACAATACATAATGTTATAACCAACAATATCGATAATAAAAAATATCGAATATCGGTGTATATATTTCTAATGCCAACAACCTAAAGTTATTAAATTTATTATTGTATTAAGCAAACATGTAATTATAGTATAATATGTTTTTAATACTATAAAGATACAATAATTTAAATATGCCTTCGATATTATTCAAATTAACTACTACGCAAACCTATTGTTTTATTGTGCAATTAAGTCAATGAGTGAACACAATCATTGGAGTTTTGAATGAATAGAAAAAATTATACATAGGTACTCGTCTTATAGTCTTCCTTATTTGTTATCTAATGGTTACTGGTATACAAATCTGTCGAAAAATTAATCATGGTGTTTAAAAACACAATTTTCTTTTGAATTTTTAAAGATCTATTTAAATGCTACAATATTTAATTAATTCCAAATTCGCGTGGCTTCAATAATTCTAGCATTATCTCCGCAATAAATTTTTCTAATTTGAATATTTCATAAAGTGATTAGTGGTCACGTACAATTTAAAAAAAAAGGCCGTATAGTATTACTCGTGTTTATAAAATTATATATAAATTAAATATTTATTGATTAAATATCAATTTTCCTACCGTTGGAAAATGCGTTTCATTTTAAATTACTTTTATGTGTTCTCAATGACATTTTTATTATTTTAACAAACACGTAACTTTTTATTCGCTCATCTATTTTTTTAAACTTTTATTTAAATATAAATTGATAAATAAAATAATACAAATATAATATGATATACTCTTTTAATTAACGGTAGAATTTGTGTAGTTTATAAATTTAAAATTTCCTTAATGTAATAAAGTGAAAATGTATGAAAACTTTAATAATATATTTTTAAATTTTATTCATTTGATTTCAAATTCAAATTGATTACAAAATGTCTGTCTGCTAATTTTAGTATTTTCTATAAGATATTTAAACTTATCTTAACGAGCCGATGCAGTTAATTTAACAATACATTCGTATAATATATAAATAAATAAATTCTTAGCCTGGAGTATTATTACATTTATAAAGTAAAGATGAATTTTTATTTCGAAACATATCTAAAAAAAATACTTTACAAATATTCTAATAATACGGTTGAAATGTTAGTAATTGAAATATGGTTATATTTTATTCTATAATAATTAAAAGTAATTTAAACACGATTTTGTCATTTTCTTCTTTTTTTTTTTTTGTAAACCACTTTTAGATGTAATGATCGAGGCGCTTCGGGTAAGAAAAAACTGATGACAGTCGGTCAATTCGTCGATTTCTTGAACCGCACTCAGAGGGATCCTCGTTTGAACGAAATACTACATCCGTATGCCAATTCAGACAGAGCGAAAGATTTGATACGGGAATTTGAGCCTAACAAACAAAACGCGCAACGTGGTTTGTTGAGTTTCGACGGTTTTCTAAAGTACCTGATGAGCGCGGACAATCCAATAGTGTGTTCTTCCACGTTAGAATTGAACAACGACATGGATCAGCCACTATCGCATTACTTCATCAATTCGTCGCACAACACTTACCTGACTGGTAAAAATCATACACATGCAATAAAATCGCATTTATTGCAGTTGCCTGAAAAATGTTTATGTTCAACCAGGTCACCAGTTGACCGGTAAGTCGTCCGTGGAGATATACAGACAATGTCTGCTATCCGGGTGTCGTTGTGTCGAATTGGATCTGTGGAACGGGAAGACGAACGAACCGGTGATCCTGCACGGATACACTTTCGTGCCTGAAGTATCTGCTCGTGAAGTAATCGAAGCGATTGCCGAGTCAGCATTCAAATCGTCCGACTATCCGGTCATATTGTCGTTTGAGAACCATTGCAACACGAAACAACAAGCAAAAATCGCCCAATACTGTCACGATTATTTCGGCGACAAGTTGCTGTACGAGCCGTTGAACACCCATAAAGTAATTATCATACAACATAATAAAAATATAACATACGAGCGCGATGATATGATTTTCATTTCATTGAATTGTATCCGAGATATTTATGATGTACCTACGTTATTTTTAAACAGCTCGAACCCGGTGTGCCGTTACCACCCCCTTCTATGCTGAAAAATAAAATAATCATTAAGAATAAGAAAAAACATCACCACCACCACAAGAAGCCCACGGCCAGCGTAGTATTGGAGCCTGCTACAGCTGCCACTTTAGTATTGGGCAACGGAGACTTACCAAGAGAACCGATCCGACAACCGAGTAAAGACAGTAATCAAGACGACGACGAAGGTATTCAAAATATTTCCAATACAATAATATAATACATTATTCTTAGAAAATAACTGTTTGTCTTAGCCGATTTGAGAAACAAATATATTACATTTTTTTCCCCAACATAATTGAATGTAATAAATTATAGGTGTTAAGAATAGTTGTCAAAGTTAAAATGAATAAAAGTGTATAGTTACAGAATCCAGCTTTTATTTAATGGCATTGACACATATGTACTTAAAAATTAATAATTTTTTTGTTGTGACTAGGTATACCGATAATTGTTTTACATTTCATTTATTTATACTCGAAAATAACTGAAAGATTATATATTTACGAGAATTTGAATGAATCATTATATTTTATAATATTTATAAATATAATGTTTCAGATGATGACGATAGTAGTAGTGATACCGACGGCGAAGAAGAGGATGTAGACCGAACAGCTGATTTGAAACACGTCTTGCAAGGTAAACCTTTAGTCGATAAGGTATCCAACACCAAAGAAACTGAAGCCGGTACAGAAATATCGGTGCTGGTCAACTATTGCCAATCTGTACAGTTCACTTCTTTCGAAAATGCAGAAAGTGAGTATTTTATACTTAAAATACTTGTAGGTTTTCGAGTGGTCTATACAAATAGTATCAGCGATTCAAATATTAATTTAGAAAAATACGTTTTAATTATTTGTCCTGTAATTTGGTGTATTGTTAGTATTAATGGTTTTTGATATTGTGTTTTTATGATTTTTTTTTTTTTTTTATTAAGAAAAAAACCGTCACTACGAAATGTCGTCATTTGACGAAAAACAAGCAATGACATTATTGAAAGAACGACCAATGGAGTTTGTGAAGTATAACAAAAACCAGTTGAGCCGAGTGTATCCAGCCGGCACTCGTTTCGACTCGTCCAACTTTATGCCACAAGTGTTTTGGAACGCAGGATGTCAGCTGGTCGCGTTGAACTATCAGACCATGGACGTGGCCATGCAACTGAACTTAGGGATATTCGAGTACAATATGCGCAGTGGTTACCTGTTGAAACCGGAGTTCATGAGACGTGCTGACCGTACGTTCGACCCATTTGCCGAATCCACCGTGGACGGTATCATTGCCGGCACATTGACTGTCGAAGTCTTATCCGGTCAAATGCTTACCGACAAACGAGTCGGTACGTATGTGGATATCGAAATGTATGGTCTTCCAGCTGACACGGTCAGGAAAAAATTTCGTACTCGCATCGTGCCGTACAATGGTATCAATCCTGTCTACGGGGATGAACCGTTTGTGTTTAAAAAGGTATGTTGTAATTTCTTAACTGCGCACCATGTAGCCGATAGCCGATAGTAACACAAGTCATAATTTAAATTATCCTGTTCCAGGTGGTCCTTCCTCAGCTAGCATCATTGCGTCTGGCCGCCTTCGAGGACTCCGGTAAGTTTATCGGTCATCGGATCATTCCCGTGGTAGGGCTTTGTCCTGGCTACAGGCACGTGGTTTTACGAAACGAAATGGGCCAGCCTCTGCCTTGTGGCACTTTGTTTCTAAAGATCACCGTCAAAGACTATGTACCCGACGGTCTGTCGAATTTCGCCGAAGCTTTGGCTAATCCCATTAAATTCCAGTCGGACCTCGACAAACGCACCAAACAGCTAGCCGTCTTTGCAGACGAGATGGACCAATCCGTAAACCCGGACGATGTAAGTTTAACATACTATCATCATTCCTCTACCTTTTATCAGTATATTATATTGTATATTTATTTTGTATTGATTTTATTTAAAATAGCATTCAATTGTACCTTAATTATTGTAATATTTTACTCGTAATTTTCGAGCTATAATGCATAAAGCTTTTGAAAATGAAAGAGAAAAAAATTATCACTGCTCTAGTCTCGTTTTATCGTCCTACGATCCGCATACTCAATGTTTATATATTTAACCCTCCACGTGCTTTTTTAAAGACGACTCTCGCACCGGCGGAACCCGATGTGAAACCAGTAACCCGGCATCAGACAAGCTGCCCAGACTTGCCCACCACTCATCACATGACCGTTACTTTACCTCCCCATCGGGTATCTGTCACCGTGAACCCTGTATCGACGGTCGAGCATTTAGTCAACGACGATTTCAATATAGGTCCTAGAGGCCCACAAAAGAAACCAATTGTATCGACTCCTTCTCGTGAGTAGTTGTATTTACTTAACATTATTATTAAAATGTTGTACTGATGCATAAATTATTACTCTTTAGTTATTTATTATTTTGTTTTTATATTTTGCGTATAGTAAGCGAAGGTATAGTAGCCGAACCTTTGACAAAGCTTATGGAAAACAAAATTGTAAAGGAGAAGAAATTGGAACTTGAGAAGAAAATCGAAAGGATCAGGAGGAAACAAGAAAAAGAAAGGCATCAGGTTCAACACTTGAGATCGTCGCACGATTCCGAACGAATGCGAAAGTCGAAATTTCCGATAAATTCCCGATTCGTCAAGCGTTTATCAATTAAAAACATGTAATATAATGCTCCATGATTCAGAGTATAATTTTCAATAGCGTCTGCTATGGAGATGCCATAATATTTTACTGTGCATCGTAATGAATACTAAACTAGTTTTTATTTCATAGCCAGGAAAGTATACTGCAGACTCATCAAGATGCGTCTGAATCATCTGAATGCGACACAGACAATTCCACCAGCTCCATTCCGAGGATGTCCCGGAGTCAATCAGAACGACTATTGGCTATTGACAAAAAATATGTGATAGAGGAACGAGAAACGTCCAAGAAATATCACGATATTGTTTTTTCGTCGCTGGAAAAAGTGATGCGATCTTCGCAAACCAATCAGATGAAAATGCTGCAGGTACTGTTAGACAAAGAAACCGCTGAGGTAATGAAAAAGCTACAGGACCGTAGAAGACATGACATGAAATCGTTAGCAAAGATCCACAAAGACAAAGATGAGATCGGAAGGTAAACGTCTTATTGATTTTATCATCTGATAGTATTCAAAGAGAGGAAGGGTTTAGGTTTTTAGATTTCTGGTCTGCTACGAAATTTCTTAGAAATTGCAGTTAAAAAAACAACTGTGTTCAATTTCAATACGTTTTCATCGTTTCCATACATTTTTCAATTATATATAAATAACTTCTCCGCTTATAGTTTTATTGTATACTTCCATGAATTCTTGTGTGTTGTATATAAACTCGGTAATTTATAGTTGGTCGTGTTAAACGTCCGTCACTGGAGAACCGTTGTCATGTGTGATCAATTACATCCGTTTTTTACCCTCTCGATCGTCCCAGCCCCAACTTGACAACCCTGTATGACACGTGATTAATGGTTTTCAACAGAATCAAACGAGAAGTGTCCAGTTCAATGGTTGAAAAGGGTGTTAACGAACGTGTGCGCTTGTATCAGATCTACGAGAAGAAGACTGAGGAGCTAGAAAAACAGCATGAAGAAATTAGACAACATTTTTATGATCTCGAGAGTAAAGTAAGTGTTATAATGAGAACTTCTAGTCGTTACTGAACGTTTTCTATTGGTAACCTACATGAACTAAAGATATTTACATAGGATTGCGTCTTACGAAGAGTTTATGGATGGGTTGTTTCATCATTATTTGTCAATTGATTGTGTACAATATTTACTGATTTTTTTAAATTCTATTTTTATAGAAGAAAGCTGAGTTAATCAAAGAATACGAGGCCAAACTACAAAATATAGAATTCGGACTTGGTTCGAGTACAAAGACCGAATTGAAACAATGACATGAGTAAAGTTAAAAAAAAAACTATGTAGTAAAACTAGATACCTAGTAATTTTTAAAGATAAATAATTAAAATATATTCTAATCAAAGGCAATAAATTTTAAACAATGTGATGCATTTGAAAAGTAAGTTTAGAGACACTTGTGCTGATTTCAATGTCGATCCCTAAAGACTGATCGATTTAACTCGTTATTATTTTTATTTCAATTAATTTTGCCATTTATTTTAATTATAATTATTTGTTTTCTCATTATGTACAAATTTTATGAACTACATTTACAGCGACAGGTGGTAGTGTATTTTTGTTATATTGTAACATATTGATTTATTATAGTTATATTATTATTATTATTATTATTATTTGTTATTTAAGGTGATCAGCCTTTTTTTATTGTGATAACCATATTTATTTTATTATTAAATATTTTGTGATAATTTTTCTATGCATAACTCCTCTCATCATACACTGTACCTTTACCTATATACTCATTGACAATCATTATTCTTCAGCTAAATTTTTGTTTTCATTCAATATAATTTAATATCATTCACTGTAATATCTTTAACTTATATATAATCATAAATGTTACTTTATACATTATTTACAGTAATTTACAATAATTACAAGAATCATTCTTCTTTTCACTGCATATTAATAGTTATGTATTATCATAACTATATACTCATGTCAAATTTCTCATCATTATAATATTCATACTCACTCAGCTACTATTGTATCTCTAAATAAAATATATGCATAAAACTATATTTATTGAACTACTGTTATTATAATAGGTGCCAATGGATTACAGCATACATAATTTTGCATCAGTACCGTCTGATATTTATTGTATTGTATAACATTTCATTTTTTTAATTGAAAATATTTTTAATTGTGTATTTAATTTATCATTTGTCCCCATCATTATTTATTATATTTTGTTATTAAATATAAATATGTGCATTAGAAAAGGTAATTGGGCATTCAATGTCTTTGCACATTAAAAATTTTATCCAGATTAATAAAGACAATTCATATTCGCCATTTATGATTTATACAAGTTATTTTGTTCCTAAACCCAGAGTCATGCACATCACACCTAGTATGTGCACACTTACCTCCTAATAGCGTAACTGGGGGCCCGCCGACCTCGCCTTGCGGGGGGCCCACGGTAAATTGGAGCCTTTGGTTAAAATAAATTTAATCCCCGTGAAAAAAAATTAATAATTGTTTTTTTTAATTAAATTAGTGTTAATCTATGTTTATAATAATCTATTATTATTATTAAATATGTTCGTAATCGTGTAGTAATCTATAGTACATATAATCTTATCATGTGGAAATACCTATCGATTTTCTATATCCCGTACACATACATCAATAGCCCTCATATAATTCTGAATCATATCCAACCATCTTTTTTTTGATATTGCTCTTCTTCTTTTCTCAAATCATCTCAGTCTTTTCTTCTCATCTTGTTCATTATCGACACTACATTAGTACTACCTCTCACATGTTTGTTCCTTATTCTATCTTCTCTTTTCAATACACTCATCCATCTCAACAGTCTAACTTCTGCAACATTTACAGAAAATAGAACAGAGTATAACTTCCCCAACACTTATACTCTGTTCTATTTTCCTGTCAACCGCCCATCAGTAAACTATACAGCATAGTAGGTCTCACTACACTCCTGTAAAGTTTACCTTTTAACATCATTGGAATTCGCTTATCACATTAAACGCTTACGCTTCTTTCCATTTCATCCAACCACTCTTAATCCGATGTTTTACATCCATGCCAAAGCTCCCGTCTTTTTATACAAATGATTCTAAGCATTTAAAGTTATCGACTTCACCTATCACATCACCGCTTATTGTCGTTGGTCTTCTCATATGCTCAACTTCTTGGTATCTTCTTCCAAATTTATATTTTATATACTCGTTTTATTTCTAAATTACTAACTCTCAATCCCTTTCCCTCGAGGGGTTAACCTAACCTTCACTCATCCAACCAATTATTAACTTCTTCAAGTTGTACTCCTACCAAAACTATATTATCAGCAAACATCATACACCATGGGATACCAATCACGCCATGTATTATTTCGTAACTTCATCCATTACTACAGTGAATAAATAAGGGCTTTGAACCGACCCCTAAGTGACACCAACTCCTATATTATAATCTTGTTATTCTACTCAAACTTTTTACCCTAGTTTTGAGCCTTCATATATATATTTTTACTAATATCATCTAACAAACTCTTGACTCGTATACGAATTTTCTCTTTTACATCTGCTACCTCATGTTCTAAATATTTGTATCTTAGGACGAGAAAAGATGCAATTTTTCTAGCAGACACGACACTGGAAGGATTTCATCCTAACTTAAAACAGTCTTTTAATTCCTGTATTACAGTAAGTTTAAAATTTTCAACAATTTCATCGTCATTTATCTAAGGTTGTAAATGCTTTTCCATAACAATGTTAAGAAGAGGCCGGACCATTGAAATTGAACAATAATTTTCACCACAAATTCCGTTGTAATTACTTGTAAAGGTTTAAATCATTTAACTATAGTTTCTATAGATATCCATTGGTTCTCCGTTACTTCGAACTTTTGTGCCATTGCTGTAGTAATAACTACAGGTATGACGGTCCTCCAATTGATGAGTTGTCAGAGTGTAAGATTTTGGACACCACTGATCATCAATAAAATCTGCAGTAACTGATATACAATTGTAGAGATATTGACGACCAACAGTCAGATGTACAACTTACACTCTTAATATTTCTTAATTGTTCTTCAACTGATGAGTTAAATGCTTTGATTCTTCGTTTTATAGCTCCTTTCTTGCATACTTATTAAATAATTTGGTTCGACGATAACCATAAATTATTGAAAATCGGAACTTGAACAAGGTGATAATGGCAATAATTTTTGCTAACGCCTGGGTGATTTGTTCTGTTCTTTCAGAACTACAAATGTTATTAGGTTCGATGCTATTATTCATAAAAGTTCTACGTCGTTTCATTAGTGGTGGTTCACAAAATTCTGAAGATGATGACGAACCTTGTGTCATACCAACAATCATATTAGACTCTTCAACTTCAAGATCTTAATTATCAATGAGAAAAATTAAATAATTTTAATAATAATTAAAATTAGTAAAAAAAACTTTTAACTATCCCTAAATATAAACCGTTATACATAAATACGTAATTGTATAATAACCATGTATAACCACGACCCTTATTAGAAACAGGAATTTTGGCATGCTTGCAGAGTGGGATTTTCTAATTTTTTTTATTAAATTATATCACTACAATAAACAGATAAAACATGCAACTTATTGCTACTTTTTATTTTGTATTATGCCATCAATTAATATATAATTTGATAATAGGTAATTTGGTAAAAATAAAGTCAATATTTTGATTTTGTAAATAAATTTATATTTATTAGTCTTATATAAGTTACAATATTATATGATATCATACAAGTCCGTTAGTTACAATTATAATGCAATTAAATTTATTAACTTGGATTTAAAATCATTATTTCACAGATAAAAAGCAAAAGTTTATTAAATCAAAATATAACAATAAAAATATAAATAAATATATAAATATACAATACAATATACATATATATTTTTAGATAACACAGCCTCATAAATATATATATAAAAAAAAGTAAGAATTACACAAAGTGCAAATGAATAAGTACTTAAAATATTATAAAATGTATTATTATATATTATGTAAAATCATTTACGATTTTTTTGAGTCTTGTTTGCAGTATTTGCTGAAGATTTTATAGCCGGACCAATAGAGCGATTGAATATGGTACTAGTAATAGACAGTACTGGTGCAAATAATTTCAACCTATATTAAAAAATAAATATAGTAATAACATTTTAATGACAGTATATAATTTATAAAATCAATAGACCTGAAAACTTTAATTTTAGATGGACTAACTTCATTTGCACTAATTATAAAAACAGGGAACAGAATCGAAAACAGACAACCACTGAAAAATAAAAAATAAAAATAGAATCATATTAAATTGTAATTATTATATAAGTACCATACCTAATAATATATGATTCTGGCAAAGATGTAATGACTGCCAATGGTAGACCAAATCCAAGGAAATATGGCCAACAGTTTTCAATAATGGATAATCTCGAGTTTAACTCTATACCCATATTACACCATTTATATTCAAATGAATATAATGAGTATAGTAATGATAAATGTACAGTACTAAGAACAGTACTCAAAATTGTTGACGGCACCATACTTACTAAATAACTCTAAAATATAAATACATAAAAACATAGGTAAAATAAGGAACAATGAAAAAATATTGTCTTACTTGAATTAAAAATAAAAACTGAACGACTAGGCTGAATGAAAAATCTGCTATCACCTTGCTAATTCGTGATAGTTGTTGTGGATCACCTTTTTTTTGTTTATATGCTATGTCTGCGATATCCTAGATAAATTAATTTTATACATTAATTTAATGTAAAATCAATTTAAAAATTATCAATTACTTGGAACCATAAGCTGTTTATTATTTTGCTTAATAAAAATATAGGTAGCACCCATACAGCTCCAAATGTCCATGACAATAATGATCGTGTCCATAACCAAATATTGTCATTGAGGTTTCCGAATGCCACTGACATTGTGTAGTCTAAGGCTGGTAGTATAACATATTCAAATATTACTATACTTAAACAAAAAATACCACCATTTAATGTACAACATTGAACTATTCGTTGTAACATGTTTTGATCTCTAGAAAAAAAAAATAACCAATGCAATAAAATTGAGATATTTTTTTTTTTTAATTAAAAATTTGTAATATTTTCTTTCAGTTGTTGTATTATTTAAAGAACAATTTATAATTTTAAAAGATATTATGAAGAATACAAAATATAATATTTTTATGTCATGGCTCTGTTTTCACTAATCATATTACTAAACAATTTATTTTTATTTTCAACAAACACCAAAATCAGCACACATGCTATTGACACTTTGGTGCTATGCCTTATTATTATAAATTATAATTTAAATTCTTTAAATTATTGAATTATTATTCTTAACCATTATTACTATTTATTAAATCTTAATATTCTTCATGAATTTCATTAGAATAAATGATAACAAGAGCATCAGATTTATTTACTCAAATTATTTGTTTTTAATGTATTCATTATATTATTAATAATTATGTTTGTCTTTTAACTATATTATTTTGTTTTAATATTTTATTAGAATTATTTTTGTAATATTTATTGTTGTTCTTTATATCTTATTTCATTTTAATTATTATTGTTATTATAATAAAGTAATATTATTTTATATTGAGTTACTCATTGTGAATCTTAATAGAAAACATATGACACAATAATAATTTATCAATCAACTAAATACTGAGAAATTTTAAAAATATTTAAATTACAATTTTTACTTAATAAAATATGATATAATATTATAATAATAATGAATTTGAAATTTGCATTTGAATAATGAATAATAAGAATAAAATTAAATTAAAATCATTATTGAAAAAAAAGAACAAATTAAACTACCGACATTAAATGAAAACTTCTAATTAATTCAGAAAATTGAACTTAGTATGTAATGTATACATTTTAGAACTGAATGATATAATAATAAAATTTATATTATATTTATATTTAATATAAATGCAACAACCTAAAAATATTTTCAAAACCACATTAAATACTGTACTACTAAATAAATATGAACAAATGGTATTGTTTAGTATTTATAACTTATATAATCAAAATCTAAAATCTATTGTTATTATAGTTACTGTATTCGATTACAAATGTAAAAATATTAAAAAAAATATTGTAATTAAATGAAATGTATTTACTCTAAACAAACATATCGTACTTGGATGAAGTAACTGGTCTGACAACTTTCTTTAACCGCTTGTCTGACATAAATAAAACAGTTATGCCTTTAACACTGTCCAAGGCACCTTTGCATACAGTTTTGGATAATCCCTATAGAACAAAAGATCATATTGGTATTAAAGAATTACATTTTGAAAAAAATAAACGTGAGCAATTGAACTTACATATAAATCGTCCATTTTTATTATTTCTTTTTTTTTTTTTTGTAAATGTTAAATGTAAAAATGTAATAAATTTTTGATGAATAAATAACAACAGGAAGTATTCAACAACAAGTGGAAAGAAGAAGTCTATAGTCGCTACACTACATGGAACCTAATTAAAACATAGAACGTGTATATTATTATTTACAAAATGAACGTCATCGTCCACAACTCTGTCGGCATCAAATGGCAGATTGGATTCATTTTTCCCCAGTTAAAGTGTTGTCTCGACAACATAGTTTCACAGTTTTTTTTTTCTCGCGCAATGTTTTTGTTTTCAGTTGTTTCGTGACAAGGCTTATAGATAACACCATTTAATACCACGTATCTTGATGTGTTATAAAATTAATTATCGGTTTTAAAAGTTTTATAACGTCTTTGCGGTCATTTCATTGAAGCCGTTGTGGAATCTTTGTTCAATTAAAACGTTAAAAAAATGTCAATGATACTAATAATTGGTACAAAAACATCGTATACCGGTACGCTACAGAATTTATTCTACCGCAAAAGATAAAGAATGGCTCGTTTATACAGTAATTGCGGCGCATAAAAATTTTTATTTGTATTCGAAAAAATAAAAACAAAATTGTTTTTATCCTTTTTACTATTGCTCGGATATTAGAACAAATGATATCATGACACGTTATGTTTCTACTATTTCATCCTTAATCGGATTATCTGTAGAATTTATTGATTTAATTGAACTATCGAGTAGTTGAAATTTTAATTCGTGTATTAGATGCATGCAATGCTCGTAAAACCTTAAATAATACATGCATATAAGTTGAAACAATAATTTCTAACCTTTTAGATAATATTAGTGAAGACTGATGTTTCGAGTAATAGGTAAAAGATAAAAAAAAGGTTTTTTTTTCTTATCAATGACTCATTCGATTTAAAAAAAAAACAAATAATAATTATAAAAACCAATTAACAAATAACTTTTCTCATTTGTTGAGGAATTTGAGACTTGTATGCAAGTTTTTTCATTCTAACAGAATTAGATTAATGAGAAATAGGAGGTTAGTTTTTCAAGTAATTTTTATGAACTAATGTACATGATGAATGAAGTTCCCACATGATGCATAGCAAGTTGAAAAAATTCATGCCTATTATTGTTTTTTACATGGTATAAAAACTTTTTGTTTATTAATGTACAGAGAGAACTGAAAATATGCTTCTACTGGAAAATTTCCAATCGAAAATATTGTACTTATTTTTTTTTTATTCTGAATTTAAACTAACAACGCATTTGAAATTAATGTAATTAAAATTTGTTTACTCATAGCAATCATTCTTACAGTTCAAAACAATGTATTTGATTTAATATTTTAGAATAAGAACAATTCCTAAAGAAATAATTTAATATAATATTGTTTGATTTCTAATAAAATAAAACTTAATTAAAAGTTATACATAATAAGAAATAACAAGTAATTTTAATTGTTTTAATAATTCAACCGTTTATAAATTGTAGAATTTTTTTTTTAAAACAATTAAATTAAAAATACTTTTATGTTAAATAAAATAACTTAAATATATTTAATTTATTTTTAGTGACTAATAACTTAATTTCTAAAATACGTGTAGAGCAGTGTTTCTTAACCTATTGACATGATAGCCTCCTCCGCCGCAAAAAAAAAAAAATTATATATTATTTTTGTAATTTCTTAAGAATCATAAATCAAAAGAACATATGTTAATAATGATAATCTGTAATACTTTCTGTCATTATAAAGCTATTTTTATATTATTATAATTATATTAAGAATATTTTGTCAAAAAATACAAAATTAATATATTTTTGTTTTTAAATTTCATACTTATATCATTATAAATAAATGCATATTATATTATTGCTTTTGTGACAATAAAAATAATTCACATTAAATATTAGGTATAGTGTGAATAATTTATATGTACCTATAATTTATCTATTACTTATACTTGAAGATCCTTAGAAAATTTTGTTTGACGCTCCAAATTACCATGTTAAGAATCACTGCATACATAAAATCAAAATCTGTAGTTAACATTCAGTCAAAAAGATTTTGAAAATTTGTAACTTAATGATATTTAGTAAAACACAAACTTAATTTAAAGCTAAAATTATATTAGCCAAATTTCTATGCAAAGAAAAACAAAACAGTGAATACAAAATAAAACAAATAATAATTATACATAATTCAAATCAAAACACTTAGTATACATTGTTATATAATTATATAACTTATGTTAAGCCAAAATAATACATCAACCAACATTAATAAATACAATCTATCACAGTGAAAATATATATATAATGTATAAAGTAATTAAACTTATACTTTAAAACAAAGAAAAATAAGGAAATTAGGGAACCATAATATTATTTTTCCAACCAAGATGCAGCTACTATTGGAGCAGTAGGTGATTTAGGTTTGATATTAAATTGTTTTAAGGTAGTTTCAAGTGCTTGATGATTATTTGCAAAATATGCCAATGTTGCGTTATGAAACATCAAAAGTTGTTTATGCATCACTTTCACCTAAAAATGTTGTTAAATGTTAAATATAATATATCTATAAACATTATATGCATATTTTCTTATAATAAAAATAAAAATACTTTAAAATATAGTCAATATAGGAAAAATAATTTAAATTATATTCAATTAAAGAGCATGGCCATTGGTCAATCTTGTAACTAAAGTATACTAAAAAACAGCAAAGTAAAAATTTAATTTGAAAAGTAATTTCAAAATATTTTAAATAATTTTATATTTTATATTTTTATCATAATCACAAACAGCAATATTATGAAATCTGTGTTAAAATTATATCATTATAAATTATATCAAATACAACTTGATTTATAGTTAAGACTTATAAGGTAAATAATTTAACTAAAAATTAATTGTTTTATTCACAAACTTAATATTTAATTTATTTTTATTTTTAAAGTTAAATGTATATTAGGAAATACATACTTAAATACCAGGAATGATATTTCTTCAAACATTTATTTAAAAAGATACTTACTCTATTTTCATCAAGAAATTTCAACTTAACAATAACATCAGAACGTAATTTTTCAAATTCTTCTTTATGCTGTTGATAATTTTGTTGGGCATCATCAACACGAACTGTATTAGAATCTGTTCTTGGCATTTGTGCTAATGTTTCAAGATCTGAACGATATGCATCATATTCAATCCTAAAAATAAATTTATTATTTTGAAAATGTTTAACGGTAATAATAAAAATGAATAGAAATATTTAGTTATTCATTACCTTGCGCATTCATATTGTTTTATGGTAATTAGTGTATCTTCAATAGTTTTATTACACAATGTGTTGACTGACGAAACAAAAAAATTGAGCGCATTTAAAAGACTTTCACCATTTTTTGATAAACATTTTTGAGTTTCTGAATTTTGCATGAATTCTTGTTGTAAATCTGGAGATTTTTGGCCCAATTCAGCAAAAGCGTCCCCAAGTGATTGCTATGTGAAAAACCATAATACTTTCTTTAAATTCAATGCGAAATCAAGACTCAAATTTCAGATAATATATTAACTAGAAAAGTTCTGTAATCCTAATTTGTCTAAATCAAAATAATAATAATCCACTTGAAAACATTAAAAATTGTACCAACACATGCAAAAAAAGATAGTTTTATTGATTGTATTAACTATCACAGATTATATTTAATGTCATCTGTGATACATAAGTATATTATGTATATAAAATACATAAGTATTTATTCTAGTTAGTACATGAAATGTATAAATAGCAAATTTATTTTATTTAAACAATACTTTATATTATTTTACGACTGAGAAATTTTACATATGTATGCATTTTTGTATTATCTATAGTAGGTTAATTATCGTGTCCCACGTACTTAGATGACAATAATACCATAATCACTCTGCATTGCATATGGATATGCATGAGTATATAATAATACATATAATAAATTAATTCTTATAAATATTAAACTACATCTATCATATGCCATACACCACACAAAGTTCAAGCAAGGAAATAAATAAATGATTATTGATTGTTGACCACATCCACATTTCACACAAATGTGATCTAACGAGGAAACATTATTCAAACAATCACATCTGTGAGATACATTAAACTACACACACTTGCGTCAATCAAAATATTAACTATTTTTCATTTATACACACATACTTGGGATTTACACACACACTTGCATCCATTGGATATAAAAGGGACCTCAAAACAAGGGCAAATTAGAAGATGTTTTGGATATGCGTCACTGAGCACCTTCACGCTAGTATATGTCATGGTCTGGACTTGGAATTTAAACAACTAATTGTAATTTATTTTACTTAAAATAATTTTAACAGTTTAATAAACCAACTAATCATAAAGAGTATTAATTATTTTATCATTATACCTACATCCAAGCGTTGATTAGATTGAACTAGTAACTGTTGTGGTGGTTGGCACGCAACATAATACTAACATTAAACCATTACAAAATGTTAAACTAATCTTACTTGGGTTAGAATAAAACTTTGAAATTGTGTAGCCATGCTTTTAGCCAATTTTAAAATATTTCCGTATTTTTTTTGTGTTTCTCTTAGTTGCTCAATTTCAGTCTCTAATTCTAAATAAGGAAATAACAGTTAATTAATTTTATAAAAGTATATTCTACAAAATACACTTACCTATATCAACTGTCTTAGAAGATTTCCCAAGCTTTTCATTTATTAATTGTTTGGTACACTTATATGTTGATACACTCCAATTTTTAATAACATCAATTTTCGAAGTAGGAAATTTTTGATGTGAAATGTCTCCATTTTGAGTAGGACTTGGAGTATAACCTCTTGGAGCTAAGAAAAAGAAAAAATATTAAGAAAAATGATCACTCAATTTGATATAAAGTATATCAATTACCAGCAGTATTAGTAAGAGGCAATGAATTAGGAACATATGTCCTAGGTCTCATAGGTCTTGATTCTATTTCTGATCTTAATATAGCAGGATGCATATTGTCAGTTTCCGCATTTCTATTTATATACTCATGGACTGTTGTATGATCATTAGAATTGACAATACGTGACATTGTTTGACTGAACTTTTTCTATTTGTATTTATAGTTACAATCTACAAATAAAATACAAATACATGATAACAAATTATAAGAATAAAATAAATGATAAATAAATATTTTAAACAAAATTAAAAGTTATAGTAAGAAAGAATAATTATTAATGGTGACAAATACATACCCCACAGTTGTACTTATAACAATGACACAATTAATATATTAATATATAGACATATCAGACGAAAAAAATGTTAGGTTAAATCTAAAAATTTCATTATTTAAACTAATAGATTTAATTAAAATGGTAAATATAAAATACTCTTTCGCCATGACATCAAACTAGGATTAATAAGATATAACATAACATCAAAATTACATAGAACTGTATAAGTGTAATACAATTGTAATGTCTAAGCACCTTTAAAACCAACCAAATAAACAATTATTAAAATTGTATTTTTCCAACGCACAAGTTAACTTTTAAGATTATTAAGTAAATAGACTATTTCTTAATTAACTTTACTGATAAATATATTATACTTGAGTTCAACCAAATGATGAAATATTAATTTTTACTGTTTTCATTAATTCGTTAGTTTATACGTTACATGTACAATTCTTAAAAAAATAAGTCTAGTGCAATAAGAATTGAAAAATACGAACATAAATTAAGGTGAACCTACCTGTAAATATTTTGAAGTGAATCAAACAGGTAGGACTAGATATTTCTTAAAACTATTGAATTTGTAAAAAAATTTTCATCTTGGATTTTATCCTGACAATTTCTAAGACGAAAAACAGTAAATTAGAACATTTTCTTTAAGGGATATACTTCAAATGTAAGAATAATCAATTTTCCACAGATTTACCAAATGGATAGTTATGATGTTAGAAACAAGCTGTTATCGATCTAATTGAAATCATGATAACAAAATAAAACAAACTTATCAACGAAATTGCTGTGGAAAAATTATTACAGATCTAACCGGCCTTTAATCAATAATTAATCGCATTTATTGAAATTTAGTTATCGATTAGATTTTTAAATTTGTTCCCGAAAGAGAAAATAAAATTATCAATTATTAATTTAAGATGGATGAAGAAGTTCAGATGAAAAATGTATATATTAACAATATTAAACTATGTTTTACATTTCGTGTGCTATCGTTAATTATTGTTGTTGAATTTCAGATTAAAGAATTTTTACAAAACTACAATAAAATAACTGATGAATGTTTTTCGCAGTGCGTTTTTACATTATCACATAGCAGGTTGACAGAGGATGAGGTATGTAGTTACGAATCTTATGGTACTTATTTCTGCATTTTTAAAATTATTTTATAATACATTTTATGATTCATCTTTTATCCTTAGGCTTTGTGTGCAAGTAATTGTGTACAAAAAGCTAAATTTGTTGATCAAAAATGTATGCAAGCATTTATTGAACATCAACAACAATCAATGCAAAAATTCATGGAAGAAGCTAATCAAAAACAGGCCACACAAGAACCTGCTGCTGACTCTAACACTGTAGAAACAAAAATTAATACAGAAATGGTTTAACAATCAATGGAATCAAATTCGAATTAAAGTTATATATGTATGATTAAAAATTATTTAACTTAGTATTTGTATATGTAAATATCTATAATGTAGCATTATGGTTACTGTTGATTTGAAAATACTGTTATTTTATACTAAATAAAATATAGATATTTTTAGAATTAAAATTATAGTAGATATTATTATCTATATTTAGTCTTCTGTTCATAGTTGTACATAATTTTTCAAATGAAAATAATTAAAAGAAAAATGACCAACAAATCTGAATATTAATTGTATAATACCTAAATTATAGTTTTTAAACAAAAATAGTAGATAATTTAATGTCTGAAGTATTATTAAATAGTACTAAACTATTTGGCACTAAAATATATTATATATTGTGGACGAATTGTACATATATTATATTAAAAAATAAACAATTTATTCGTTCTTTAAGTATTTATATTGAGTTAAATGTCTAAACAACATTTTCAATAATTGATGTATATGCATATACATGTATTAATATAACATATTTGTGAGAAAAAAAATATATGTTAAGGCTAATTTAATATAATTATATAAACATTACTTAAAACATAACTTTCAATTTTATTACGAATAACCAGAATGAACTAGAGGAATGACTGAAGTTCTTGAATCTGTAAACAAGTAATAATGTATTTAATAAATATCATATCAACACATAATTAATACAATGAAATTATAATTTGGAATAACAGTGGAATAATTTAGTCACATCAATATTTCTGATGTAAAAATTTTAAAATCCAGTCATAAAATTCAATCCTACACCTCATTTAAGAAAAAAAAACAAGTTAAATCTATTAATATAAATATGATGTGCAATTTTTTTTTTTTTTTTGTTAATTTTTGTTGCAGTAATCAACTATTACCAACATTTTAGTTTTTATGGAAAACACTATTAAATATATATTTAAATAAATACTATGCAATTTATATTAGTAATAAATTATTTACTAAATGCATACAATTAATTTAAATTGTTATAACTTTATTGTAATATTTGAACACTTGCAACTCTAATTTTTAATTCTAAATGCTGTCATTTTAACTTTCAAACTATACCATTATAGATAAATATAAATAAATGATATACCTGTTGTTCTTTGTCTAGTTGTTCACTAAGTAAATTATTAGATATATTTATAAAACGCTCTCTTAAATTAATATTTTCAATATTAGCAATTTCCATATCTTGTTGTTTTTTACGTTCTTTAAGTTCTTCAATTTCTTGCCTTAACTGATCAATTTTATGTTTAATGTCATCTACAATAAATTTAAAATAAATAACTGAAATTTAAACTTAAATAAATGTTTAAAAACTTACCAGCAGATACATTCCCAGCTTCTAAAGGAATCAATGTTGATAAAACTGGCATATCACCAAGTTTACTATCATCACTAAGTTCTAATTCAGATTTAAGATCTTCACCTAAATCATCTCTATAACCAATACTTTCATCAAAAGTGGAGTCCATACCATGTTCTTTTTTTATATCCAATTGGGAATTATCATTAGATATAAACATTTCTTTACTAAATTCTGTTACAAGCTTTTGGGATCCAGATATTGAAGGTTTTTCTTCCTATATTAAAATTAAATAATACATAAATATGTAAGTAAATACATTAGTATTGAAACTAACCATCAAAGAATTAGTATCAGATAAACGACTATCATCAGCACTTAAACGACTCATATCTTCATCCATATCCATTATATTTATATTACCAGCTTCTTCGTCTGAATCACTAAGAGCCTCACCAAATATGTCTCTTTCAGCTAAAAGTAAAACGTATCTAGTTTATTATAAGGTAGAGCATCTAATATAAAATCTAAATAATAGTACAACATTAATCAATTTTTTTATCTGTCTTCCAAATGACAAAACTTTTTGAGAAATATGTACATTTAAATTTGTTGAATGGAATTTTAACTAGAACATTATAACTTGTACTTATTTATTTGAACAAATACATGTTTTTATAAAAATTATATTTAAGCCTGAATATCTCTATATTTTTATTTATAATTATCCATATTGGATCAGATAAGGTTCTGAGAAAAACAAAAAGTCTTGATTTTAATTATGTTTACAATTAGACTTTTTTTTTTCAAACTTTAGAATTATAAAGCACACCAAATAAATTAAAAGCACGACTTTATAAACAGTTATTATATATAGATAATTCTAAAGAAAGTTCATTTTTTAATTATTTCAGTACTTTTCTAGAGTGTAAGAAAATCTTGTAAATAATGATACATTTTGCTTAATACCATTTATATTATGTTGATAAAGTTACTACATTTTTTTTTTTTAACTTAATTGTATATATAATGTAAATCTACTTCTATGTTATTTATATCTATTTCCAAAAACTCAGAAGATTTGACCAAAACAGTTTTTGCTTTAAAGAGTAAAGTTAAAAAATATGACAAACTGATTGTTTATCTACCTGTATATTCATATTACCAAACTGTGATATTAATTTTGTATTTATATAAAAAAATGTATTCATATAAATACAACCCAATAACTTTTAAAAATTAATATTAAGTATTTTAATAAATATCTAATCGCACTTTATTTACATTTGAAACTTCACTTAAATTTTTGAATATCAATCCACAAAATTGGAATAAACATAATTATGAATATGTATATATTTAACAATAATATTATTTTTTATAACTGTCGAATAAATTGTATTTTAGTTAATTTTATTGTTATAGTATACAAATTGCATGAGCATTAAATTTTTAAATCAAATTTAACAGTCTAACTTAAATGGAAAATTTTATTTTTAATTCTTTATTTAATTAATATTGATTATTTAAAATAATCAACAATGATTATGATTCTATCTTATGTTTGATATAAATAAAATAATTTCACAACTATTCCTTTAATAAATAAAAACTAAAGTTATAAATTAAGTCATACCAATGTCTTGCTTTATGTCATTATGCATTTCACCTTGCATAAATGGCTCTTCTTTTACTTTTCTATTATTTTGAACCTCTGTTTCAGAAACTACTTCCCATTTGACACTTGAAGCTTCACTATCACTTTTTAAAAGATATTTAACCTAAATGAATATTATATTATTATATTGAATAAAACAAATCAAAAAAATATTTAAGGGTTGAACCTCTTTTTCAATTTCTGGAGCTTCAACATACTTCTTCCTAAGTGTTTTACGGAATCTTCTTTTCCGTACATTTTTTAAAGGGGGAGTAATACCATGTGGCCACAAATATTTTTTATCAACTTTATTAGGTTCTTTTTTTTTTAATACTTTGGTTTTGTCTTCTTCATCAGACTGTAAAAATTCTTTATCTTCTTTACATAAAATCATCTGGAAAAAAAGTAATACCCAATCAAAATATTTTAAAAACCATGTTGGGAAAAATAAAAACTATTTAATATGATTTTGTCACAACAGATAACAAAGTCAAATTAAATTGTTTGAAAAATGATACAAACATTTTCAGAGATTAGTATTTTTAAAATATTATAAGTATATATTTATACAAATTAACAAATTGGTCATAGATTAAGTTAGGATTTTACCTGACAGATATCTGCTGTTTTATAGACAGTCTTGTTATCAATTGTTTTTTGTCCTTCGATGATAGTAGGCAAATCAAAAACCTACAATGTCAATAAGCAGTACTATAAAAATTCAAAATGTATACATCCATCAAATAATGTTTTTATCAATTAGAACCAATACTATATACAAATTATTAATTTATGAAATTTAATTTATCAAGCAATAAAAATAATTGTAAATTACAAAAAAAAAAAAAAAGTAAAATAATTAGGAACTTAGCGAGTTGATATACTATGTTTTTGAATTTTGTTTTTTTTGATTTTAGAAAATAATAAATTATGATTTATTTTATAAATTCTATAATTATTAACTATATAAATCTAGTTAATATATAATATGTAGTGATTTTTTAATTTATTAAATTAAAAATATATTGTATGAATTTTACGTATCTGCACAGTACTTAATTATATCACTATATTCATTCATAAAATATATGATGGTTTTTTGTACATAAATAATGTAAGTTAACAAATTTAACCTTTGCATATAAATGATGATTGCCAATGATAACTTCACCTCTTCGAATATCATTCTCCAATTTTATACTTATTTGTTCTTTAGTATCTTTTCTAATTAATTCTCTTAAAGTATCAGCAGCTTCCTGTAAAACAAATATGGATTGTTACAACTAATAAAAATATAAAGAAATAAGAAATATAAGATGTTAGAATTGATTAGTTTATCCTTATTTACAATAGTTGTATAATATATGTAAATATAAAATTAATACTATTCTAAAATATAAAATAACTCGATATACTCAAATTATTTAAAACAATGATATATACATATAAATGTATTGTGTAAAGTAGTAACAAGACAATTGTATTTGCTAGTATTAAAATTAATTATATTTAAATGTAATTAAATACACATAATTTTAATTTATTAAACTAAAAAAAAACTTCATAGGAACATTTATGAGAACCAATTATACCATATTTCATAATTGGACATTTATTATTAATAAAATATAATATTAAGTTAAATATATTTATTATATAATTAAAATATTTTAGTAAAATTAAACTATCTTACAGCAGAATCATTAGGGATCAACTGATTTTTCCATTAAAAATAATTTTCAGTAATAGGAAAACTAAAAATAATATTTTAAAAAACTGGAATTACAATGTTTGTCTATAATTTGAAAATAAAAATAATTTTTAAGTTCATACAAAGTAGATACATTTTTATTTGAATATACATATTTTGTGTATAAGTACACAAATTAATACCTAGAAAAATAATTTTTTTTTTCAATTATCGAGGGTCGCATATTTTAAAGTATTTATTGTTAATTAGAATTTGGAATAATAATTAAAAAGTATAGTAGTAGTACTTTCAATTATAAGATTGTCATTTTAAAATTGTGTATTTCCGTCTTGTAAGAAGTCTGTTATAAAGAAATGTTATAATATTACTTATTAATTTAATAACATTTTTTTTAAATGACAATAATGTTTCCTTACAGTTTCAGGTAAATGGAGGTATCATTTTTAGAGAAGTAATTTTTATATGTATTTGAAACAGGATGTGACTATTTTTCATTACAAGATTTCCATCATATAGAAGATCCGTTAAAAGGATGTTTTATTGTATAATATTAATTCATCTTCAGATAATACAGTTCAATATTAATGAAAAATAAAAAAATATACAAACAATAATATTACCGTTGGAACCCTTAAAATAACTTCACTTTCCAATTCAATAGCTGGATCGGGCTTTTCTTCCATTTTCAGTTCTTTATATATTTAATAAAAGCCAATAGTTTATTGATTGTTAACCAAGTAATAATGAACAGAGGATCTATATATATATATATACAATAAATTATTGTAAAACTGTGAAAAACAAAACATTTATCATTTATCAATAACAATAAAAAGATAGAAAATTGCAGCAGATATATAATTATCACGACTGTGTTGAATATCCTTGCAGTACGAAATAGCCTCCTTGGCAATACTGTTATCAGTTGACCGCCATAAAAATCTTTTAACGAAAATGGAAAGTGGAAGATTGAATTTTAAACGTGATTTACGTGTACATTTACCACTGTCCGTTCACTACCGTTCTGCCAGACAATCTCTTTTCTATGGCAGAAGTGGCTCGTGAGGTGTCTAGATGTATTATTGTCTATTCAGTATTGGACTTAAGTGAACCGAAGTAGATTTTAAGATTTTTTTTCTTTTTCTTTTGGCAGCTGGTATTGTAAATTTTTAATAATGTTTGATTTTGATTCTGCTGTTCTTTTGCTTAAGAAATATGACCAAGAACATATTTTAAGATTTTGGGATAAACTTGATGAGAAAGAAAAAAAAATCTTACTGGATGACATTCATGATATAAATATTCCAGAAGTCATAGAAATGTTTAGGAGAACTGTTGAAAACATCAGAGCTGAACAACAAAAATTGGACGATAAGATGAATCCAATTCCTGCTGAGTTGTATGGTGCAGTTAACCGTAGTCCTGAAGAATTGCTGACAAAGTACGAGCAGATTGGACTTGAACAGATATCTCAAGGAAGAGTTGGAGTTTTATTAATGGCTGGAGGCCAAGGTACAAGGCTTGGAGTTAGCTATCCAAAGGGTATGTATGACATCGGTTTGCCTTCTCATAAATCCTTATATCGCATACAAGGAGAACGTATTCGTCGTCTAATCAATATAGCAAGTAAAAAATATGGGAGTTGTAAGGGTCTACCTTGGTTTATAATGACTAGTGAACACACTATGGAACCTACCCGTAAGTACTTTAAAGAAAATGACTTTTTTGGACTAAATGAAAGTAAAATTGTTTTTTTTGAACAATACATGCTGCCAGCATTTACTTTTGATGGAAAAATAATCATGGAAAGTACATATAAAATCTCAAAGTCTCCAGATGGCAACGGAGGTATTTATAAAGCTTTACGGGATCGCAATGTGTTGGATGAAATTAAAAAGTTAGGTGTTCAATACCTTCACGCACATAGTGTAGATAATATATTAGTGAAAGTAGCTGATCCAATATTTATTGGCTATTGCATTACAAAGAATGCTGAATGTGGAGCCAAAGTTGTTGAAAAAGCCTATCCATCTGAGCCACTTGGTGTTGTATGTGAAGTTAATGGAAAGTTTCAAGTTGTTGAATATAGTGAAATTACTGAAAAAACTGCAGAAAAACAAAATCCTGATGGTCGTTTAACTTTTAGTGCAGGTAATATTTGTAACCATTTTTTTACAACAGATTTTTTAACTGATATTGCTCATAAATATAATAGTGAATTAAAATTGCACATTGCTAAAAAGAAAATATCCTATGTGGATGGCGATGGCAATGTATGCAAATCAGAAAAACCAAACGGTATCAAAATGGAAAAATTTATATTTGACGTATTTGAATTTTGTAATCGTCTTGCCGTTTGGGAAGTAGAAAGAAATGAAGAATTTAGTGCTTTAAAGAATGCAGATATACCAAATGGCAAAGATAATCCCAAAACAGCTCGTTTAGATGTATTTTCTCTTCACAGAAAATTTGTTGAAAAAGCTGGAGGGAAATTCGTAAGAGACAATATTGAATGTGAAATTTCACCTTTATTATCTTATGCTGGAGAATCTTTAAGACATTTGGTTGATGGTAAAACATTTGATTCTATACTAGAATTAAAATCTGACGAAGAAATGTCTACTTTTAATGGAAATTAAATGTCCTTAGTTCATATTCTTCTCAAATAATAGAAAAAAAATATTTCAAAAGCTTATAGATTCTCTAATTGTTTTTTTTTTTTTTAGATAACATTTCTCAAATACATAATATGAATGGCTAAACAAAAATTACCTAAGTTCTTATATTATTTTTTATTTCATTCATTATTTGAAATGTCTTGTCTTAATATACATATATCTTTTAAAAACTATTGTTACTGTTAGTTATAATTGTAAGTGTAATGCCGTTATGATATTGTTATAGGTATCCTTTAAATATTTATATAATTTTTTGTGTACTTATGTCTGTTTAACAAATGTATTATATGTTTTATTTTTTTAATACAATAAATTTATTTTTTATATATAAAAAATGAAAATTGTTATAAACACTAAAAGTATAGTAGATTTTATATGTTAAGCATAGCTGAGTATTAATTTTATTGTAAACATTTTATATCAATTATTAAATATTTCTGTACTATTTATAATATACTTTTCAATATGTATGTTTAATATATATTATGGATTTTTTGAATAATTTACAATTAACAACTGTTTTATTACAAAAATTCATATGTTTTAGTAGTATTAATTTTATATACAAAATCTAGAATATAAATGTAAAATATATAAATTTCATAAACATTACTATTAATAGACAATAGTTTACATAATACAGACGTAGCTAAAGGTATCATTTAAATTTTAATTTTAAAAAATTGAATAATGTAGTGTTATGATTTAAGAATATATTCAATTTTTATTCATTTTCTATTAATATTAAAAAAAAAGCATAGTTTTCTCATTTAATAGAAAAAACAATTTTTACAATTGGACATTTTAGATGGATTATATTATTTTTTTGGTTGCATTAATGTTAAAATTTAATTTAAATATAATTAAATAATATGTAAAATTATTCTTGATTCCATTTGTTGCTCAATATGTATTTTAATCTTTTAAAATTATTACTAAGGCTTGGAAGTTGATGCATTTTGCATTTTTTTTCGAACTTTATAGAAGATGCTATCCTGGCCACAAATGTATTTTATTATCATGTGAATCCAAATAACTAATTTTTATTTTGCATTTTTTTGGGTGTTTGTTACTTTTTAAGTAATTTTTTGACATTTTTAGGTAATTTTTTCACATTTTTTACTGATTTCACACTAGTTAATTTCTTATTGTTTCTTATCGACCATTATGCCAATAACTTAAAACTTGTCTGATTTAATCTCGTTGATTACATTCATCGTTGTCGTGTTGTAGTGAATGGTATTAAACATACATTTTATTATTTTTTCCTAATATTCGATTAGTATCCAATATTATTTTGTTGATTACAGTCGTCGCTTTATTGTCATGTTATAGTGAATAATACCTATTATATCTAAATTTTATTATTTTTTCGTTATATTTTCGAAATGGCGAAAATTAAAACGTTGGTTAGCACTCGTTTGCATCTCTCAATCACTACAGTGAACGTGGAGAGAAATTTTTCCAAATATAAATATTTATAAACAGTAAATCATCATTGATTTACTTTTGATAACATCAAATACACTAATTATACAATGCAATGATTTTAATTTTTGAATATTTGTAAACTTTTATAAATATATAAAACAAATGTTCGTCATTTTTTTATTTCATATTTTAAGGACATTTGTTGTCATTTATATGTCATACTTTGAGTAAATTGTAAGTTTTGATAAATTTATAAAGAATGTTATAGTAAAATAGAATAAAATATTTAAAAAAAATGTATTTTTATTAATTTTAAAATAAATATTTGTAATTATTTAGGTCATTTTTTGTCATTTTTATATTATATTTGCATCTTTTTTTAGGTCATTTTTTAATGTTTTTAAGGTCATCAACTTTTGAGCTCCAATTATTACATAATTAAGTTATACACCAACCAAATAAAAACCTGTTTAGCAACTACAAAAGGAAATTAATATTCAAAATATTTTATTATAAATTATGTTATACTTATACTACTCATCCATAGTCATCCCAGTTCAAATTAATATACATTGATTAGGTAGGAAATCCAAATTAGTTATGAGATTATATTGATTAAGGTAATATAAATTTAACCATCAGTAATCATAACTGATAACATTTAATAAATAAATAAATTTTAAGTTATTGCTATAAAAGTGTCACCATGGTTATATCCTAAAGGCCCAGCTAGAATCATAAATATTTATATCTTTCACTTCATAGTAAAAGTGAGTGAGTGTATAATGACTTTAACGTATAATGAAATTTACTTTCACTTTTCAATATACATTTCTAGTTTAACTTATATTGAAAAAATCAAAGTGAATGAATTATCTTGATATTTTAATACATTTATATACAATTTTCAAACAATTTCTGTATTTCAATTACATTATTTTCATAAACATTGTTATAATTTAAATATAGTAACACCTAAAATATATATATATATATATATATATATATCACATATACTACTTAATATAGATGATAATCAAATAATTTGTTATTTATTTTTACTTTTTTACATTTTTTAGGTGCTTTAAAGCACATTTGGCAGCTGTGCACTTAGCAATTCTATAATTACGACCTATACCTTTAAATTCACCTTTGCCAAAAATTTCAACCACAACCCGAACTCGTCTACCATCTGCAAGTTTTTCAGGCTTACTGAAAATAATAGTAAAAACAAAAAATATATATCATTAACAAAAATTTTAAATAAAAATTCATTTTTTTTTAACTAAACTTACCTAAACTTTGCTGTTTCTGGTTCTAATTCAAGAAGTTCTCTGATTGGAGATTTTGGAACATTTTTACTAAATTGTTCTATAACATATATACAAATTTAAAGTATACTATCATATATTAGTTTAATTATTGGTCAATGAATAAAATAGTATTTATTAATAATAAGTCTTTGTTTAAAGGTTTAACAAAGTAATGTAGTATACATACAACATTTTATTACCGATCAAATTTACATTTGATTTTGAATAACTCAGTAGCTATTTTTACTGTTGAATAAGTCACATACTTGATATCACTATATAGTATTGACTAATTATTATTAGAGAATGTGTGAAACCTACCAACAAGGAACTAATAGCCATATTAGCCATCTTTCAAAATTTAAAAAATATATTTATGTTACGGCTAAATTCCGAAACATGACTAAGGTTCACATTATCAGATATTTTGCACTCTAGCCACACTGGTTGGATAAAGTAAACAATTAACATTTAAAATCATAGTTTTATACACATTACCCGTCTAAAGTAACTTTAATTATCGTATTAGGCTAATGTAAAATATTATTAATAAATTCATAATTATATTTTATTTCAATAAAATTAATTAATAAAGATAACAAATAAATAATAATAAACTCAATGTTGTGAGTGTAAATCAAATTGCAAAACAAATAAATGCAACTGCAAAGCATCGGATGTTGCAAATTTTACCATGTTTAAATAAATAATAATAAAAAAACATTATCTAATAAATAGTATTAATAATATCTGATTAAAATAAATTTAATATTGCATCAAATGTAGTTGATTAATATTTCATTTTTAACTTATATGCCATAATACGATGGCTTAAGTTGCTTTAGCCAGGTAATGTGTACAAAATTATGATTTTAAATGTTATTTGTGTATTTTATCCAACCAGTGTGGCTAGAGTATACAATATCCAGATAATGAACATTTTAGCCATAACATATACAAACTGTAAGAAAGTATTTTTATTTTTTTTATACTAATAAAGTTATTGATCGTTAATAATTAATTATAATTATTAAAATATTTAAAATAAGATTTTTTATTAGTATACCTTTACTAATACTAAATATACATGCTATAAAAATAATTAACTACAAGAAACATTTTTTAATATTTTTCAAATAAATATAAAATTATTATTGAATATAAGAATTTTGTAGGCATTTACCCATTTCATTTTCCATTATTTTATGATAAACTTTCCACACTGTATCTAATGACATGTTACTATCCAAATATATTGCTCCAGCAACTGATTCAAAAACATCACCAAGTGCTTTTGGGACCTCAACATCTTCTGCTTGTTCACACTCATCTTCTCCCATAAAATAAAACTAAAATAAGAAATTATGAACATAATTAAAAGGCTGATTTAAATATATATTAATTAAAATATAAATATACAACTATTCAATGCATAGAATATTAAATTTAAATAAATTATCAAAAACAGAATTGCAAATAAATATGTTAAAGTAATTTAGAAAGTACCTCCTCATCAATAGTATGACCATTTTCTTCTTGAATTGTTACAAATCTACAAACCACTTCAGATAAACCAGGGGACAGATGTTTGAAATACTTATGAAAACCATTTCTAACAGCTAACGATGCAAATATTGTATTATTTACAAGTGCTGAACGGAGATCTGTTAATGCACCAGGAGAATGTTGTCTTTTGTCTTCATACAGGTGTCTTGTAATTAAATAGTCTAAAAATATTATATAACTCAAAATGTATAACAATTATTAAGATTTAATTTAGTTACCTAAAACCGCATCACCCAGAAATTCTAATCGCTGATAACAATCAGTTAAACGATTAGGATAATAAGAAGCATGAGTCATTGCTTGTAATAAATAACTGCGATCCCGAAAAAAATATCCCAAGTGTTGTTCAAAAGAATCAAATCCATCCATTAATTTTATTAATTCACCTTCAGGATTAGGTATATTTCTCAAAAGAGGAGAAGATGGTGGTTTTAGATTTCCTAATTTGGAATCTTCAAGCACTGGTAATACTCGTATTCCTAACCAAGACATGAACAACAATGCTCCACGAGCACCACAAGATATCAAATATGCACCTGTAAGAGATAAAATTTAATTTCTAAAAAAAATGATTAGCATTATATGCACCACACCAATCAATGCTTCCACACAGTCTGCAATACTTTTATCAGGAATGCTATGTTGAGTAACAAGATTGTAAGGCACAAATAGAGGAGCGTTTTCTAGGTTATCATTTGAGAAACCAATTTTGAATTGTTGAATAGCTTCTTCGATTTCTTTATCTGTAGGATCTTTAAATGTAGGAAGAGTGATCATATTCCACAATGTGGTTGGTATACTGGCATCAATAAGAGCTTTTTCTAACTTGTGGGGTACAAAATAACAGGGTGGTAACCAATTGTCATGGGGTTCAAATTTTGTGGAAATCATACGTTCACCAAACATTTTTAATTTACCCAAACGATATAAATTCAAATTACTGACTTGTTTAGATCTTAAATGGCTTAATTTCCCTTCATGTACGTTATCATGGGTGCAGTATAAGTAAGCAGTAATGGCATATTTTAAAAAAGAATCTCCAATAGTTTCCAAACGTTCCAAATTGATACCATCATTTGCATTAGACATTGTTAATGCTTGCAGTAAAACACTAGGACTTGGTCCAGGATGGTTATTTAAATCCGGTTGAAAATCAAAACTAAATACTTCATTTTCCTCATGAACTCCCTTTATGTTATTTGTAACAATATTATCACTATCTGTATGGTTTATATTTATTTCATTTTTCGTACATTTTTCATTCATTGACTCCACTAAAACATTATTTGATAATATATTGATGTCTAAAAGTCCATAACCAGTATCTGAATTTAACATCCATGGTAATTTTAATAAAAATGCATCATCAATGTCAGTATTATTTTTTAATGCTCGATTAATAACAATTTCTTCATCTTTTTTGTAAAATAAATTTGTTAATTTTTCTTTAATTTGACTACAATTATATTTCATTTTAGTACCACAACTATCATTCCAATCCCATGAACAATCATCATTATTTTTAAAAAGAGATAGTTTATTTGGTTTTGATTCATTTTGCTCTATGGCTTCAGCTAAATAGGTATTTCTGAACTCTATGCGTAAACCATTTGAATGTAAATCATCCTCTTGATATGCATCTTCTGAATCAATATCACTAAATGTACTTGATTCATTGTCACTTTGCACCATCCAACTAGTTGGAGATGTATACCTCACTTTACTTATACTATCATTTTTTATTGCAAAGTCAGCCATATCATTAGACCATGTGCCAATGTCCATCCAATTAGGATCGTCTGATTTAACAACAGTGTCTTCTATTTCCTCATTTATAGTTTCTTTGACTACTTCAACTGGTTGAATAGTTTGTACTACATTATTTTCTTTTTTTTTTTTCAATACTTCTTTCATCGTCCATCCAAAATCTAATGGCTCCCAGTTATGATCTATCAAATTTTGGAAATTATTAGTAAATTTAAATATTAGTAATTCATTTTAATATATTTTATACCATAACTTAAATCAAGCGATCCTAAGGATATATCTTTAGCAACAATTGTACGTATCTCATCAGCTAACAACAAAGCATTTATGCGATATAATATACATGGTAAAGAAACAGCTTTACGCCACATTGATGCTGGAAATAAATGTATATTACATAGTTCTGGAACAAGAATTTGTTTTTGACTTAAATTATCGCGTTTAGCTTTTTTAGTTGCATCACTACTTGTAGGTAAAATTACACCTTTACGATTCATATACCTAGAAATAATTTATATTAGAAAAATTCAAATTTTTTTAGTATACTTACAAACCTTGGTGTAAGAAAATTTAATCTTGCTGAAGTATGATCTACATCTAAAAGAGGTTGTTCTAGATTTTGGATTTGTAAATTGTACTTAAGATAATAGTAGTCTTCAAATGTCTTATAATTTTCTATTGAACCAGGAAAAGGCGCTTTAGGGTTAAGATGGGTACATATCTCTGCTACATAAAAATACTGAAAAAAAAAAAATTAATTTTATTAAATCAACAATTAAAACTGATTCTGATAATATTACCTGAGGTTGTTCTTGATTTCTATACCATGGTGTAACTACAGCATCTTTTAAGACTTCAATATCAGGATTGAAATTTTGTCTATCTTCATTAGATATAATACATAATTTCTTATCTTTATTTATGTGCATCTTATCTAGAAAATTCCAATCAATATCTATTGATCCATTACCATCTAAAAAATATTAAATACATTTAATAATTAATTAATTAATTTTACTAATTTATACAACCTCTACGAGTAGGAGCAATATAATAACAATTGTGAGTAGTTGTTGGATCAAATGCCACATGACATTTTTGCAATCGTAGTACATTCGTGAATGTATAGTTTAAAAATGTTGCTATATTATCCAATTGCTGTTGAGTAAGGAATAAGTTTGTTTTAATTGGTTTAAGACTTACATATACTTCACCACATCGAGTGTAAATAGGAAATGGTGGAATCTGTATTTTAATTAAATTATCAAAATAATATACATAAACAACTTTATATTTTACAAATATTTACTTACACTAGGAATGTGTTTTGTAGTAAGGATACCAAATCCATGAATAGAATCTTCAGGGGGATGAATTCTTCGACCTCTAGTATTTTGTTCTTCTGGTACAGGACAATTCATATTTAATAATATAGCATACAAATGACAAGGTTTGCCTTCAACTGGCCTACAATCGTTTAGCGCCTCAGCTATCTAAAAATATATCAAAATTAATTAGAATTCAGTACTTGAATATGCAAATTAATATTAAATATTTAAATCAATACTCTTTTATAATAATATTGGCGACGCTTATTTGTCCCTGGTCTAGGATCTTCAGTATCCCAAGGTATTAAAGCATCTTCAGCGTCCGGAGGTACTTCGTCAGCATTAAATAAAGCATGAAATGATTCCTTTGTGATAGGTTGAAGAGTATCATCTAGCTCTCCTTGAGAATGAAGTTGTCGACAAACTTCAAGAGCAGCTATTCTTTTTGCTAGAATCTTACTTGGCATTGGATGACCCTATCAACATATTTTAAAAGAAGTATTAAACTAAATAATATTTAATTTTATTAACTGATACACCAATCACAAAATTGGTTCACCAAAATTACTTGAAAACAAGGAAACTCAATCCAAAATTACATAATATCAAAGCCGTAACTGGGGGTCTAGGGGTCCAGACCCCCCCCCCCGAAATTTTCAAAAGTAGACATTTTAGCAGTGAATATAGTTTATTAACTATAAATTGTATTAAATAATAATATTAGACCCCCCCCCAACATTTTTTTTCCAGTTACGGCTATGCATAATATACTTACATGTATATCATGTTTAATAGGTGAATTTATTGGAAGTCGAATACTACAGACAAACATGGATTGATTTTCATATACCACTGATTGTAATTCCCAAATTGGAGATAGTTTTGTAAAAGTATCACTGGGTAATTTTGCACAGTACCTAAAGCATTAAGATAAATACATAAAGGTAGATATGTTATTAAAATATAAATTTTTAAGTGTTATACAACTACATTTCAGGTTTTTGGAACCAAAATAGATATTAGTGCATTTTTATAAAATGTTATGAAATAATAAAATAAAAAATATATTATAAGTTTTTAATTAAATAAAAAAAAATGTAAAACCTGTTCACAAGACCAATAGCTGTTGCCATATCTACAAATGCTCCATCTTCATTTTTACCTGGTTTGAAGGGTGCAACACACCAATTATATCTATCTGCATAACTTTCTTTTTCAATATCAATATCTTTTAAAGCACAATGATTTAATAACATCTTTAGAAAATAAAACAAAAATATTATTTATCATATTATAAATTAAAATTAAATAATAAATAAAAAAAAATCTTTTCTTACATTATTAATGTCCTTATATAGTTTTAAACAATTTAAAACATCAGTAGTAGCTTCTTCATCAAATATTTTAATATAATATGCATCTAATGTTTTTGCTCTACTTTTAGACCTAAGATATGATTTATATGATAATGGTATATTATAGCTAATTACTAAATTACAGCGCGGTAAATCAATTCCTTCTTCTAATACTTTTGTACCAATAAGAACATTACATTCTCTTTGTCTAAACCTAAAATAATAATTTTATTGAATCATTAATTAAATACATTTCATAGCAAAAATAATTATACATTTAGTTATGTCACAATAACAGTAATCCGAGAGAAACATAAAAAATTTAATTACCAGGATTAATTAATATTCAAATATATATGAGAACCAAAAAATACAAGTCTCAAAAATATGAAGGTTCAAGTTACTATAACCCAAATGTAATACATTGAAAAATTATACCTCCTAAGAGTTTCTTCCTGTTTTCTATGTTCTATCTCAAATTCTTTTGATTCAGTAATTGGGTCTGCTTCTTTATCTACTGTATATTGAGGTTGGATCCAACCAAAGTCTTCTCTATTATTGTTTTTTAAATCCTAAGTAAGATGTAAATTATTTAAAATTGTTATCATGTAGATGATAAAATAATATTCATACATACTAAAAACAAATAGAATAAAATAGATGCCGTAATTTTATTGTTTACAAGGATTATGGCACATACATTTTCTTCATATGGTTCCCTAGAACGTCCCTGTTTTCTATGAGTTCCATATCTTCTAGCTAATTTCCAATTACGTCTCACTGATTTAGGTTTATAATGTCCATCTTTTTTTTCTTTTGGATTACTGTATACCTCAGTATTATTATCTACTTTAAAAGATTTTGGTTTAAATTGCTTAAGGGTACTAATCAACCGTAATACACGAGGAGTGCTAAATTTTAAAATTCTATCTTCATTACTATAATTATAAAAAATGTCATCAAACATAGCTCTTATTTGAATCAGTAGTGTAGAAACAATGCAAAGCAAAACATAATGTCTTTCATACGGTATTTTAACTTTCAATTTTTCCACCGTGTATAGAAGTGTCAAAGCAGCTTTATCTGCACAATATACACCCATTGTTTTTAACACCTCCAAGAAATCAGCTATGACTTGTAAAGGTTCATTTTTAGGATTTGGTATTTGTTTTAATTCTTCACCGAATTCTTCATCATCGCCATATATAGAAGCAGGCTCATATTTATGATTATTTAAAAAATTGGTTAAACTATCCACTAATAATTTTATTCTAATATCAGTACTATTATCTGTTCGAAGTGCACATTCAATAAGAATCTCTTTGGGCTTACAACAGTGGCGTAATAATGAAACAACATCACTAGCAGTTTCAATTGTAGCAAATAATTTGTTTGCTATAAATTTTAATTGACTTTCAATGAAAAAAGGATCAGAATCAGTTTCAAATAATGGATGAACAATACCTACTATTTTACAACTACTATCTGGCTTGATAAAATCACAAATCTATGGAGAAAAAAAAAATATTATAATCATTTTTTCTACCAATATATGTTATATAGTGAAATTTCTATTTATAAACTTCAAGGAAAAACAATTCTTGTTCTTTTTTCTATAATGCTAACTATACAGAAATTTCACTGTATTTATAATAAATAATGCCATTAATACAATTAGTACAAATACCTTATAATAAGTATTATTCTTATTAATTATTTTATGGCAGTTATTAAATATGGCTAAGTTAATTTTATCCATGTTTAAGTATTTGTTTTCAAACATTTTCAAACACATATTTTCAGTAGTAACAATAACCTGTAAACAAAATAAAATAAATTATTTAATCATTTGTTATATTTCTATAAAATAAAAGCACAGAAGTGCTTATATGGTTACCAATTAATTATACAGTAAGTGATTAAAGTATATGATTACAGTAATTATTAAGGTAAAATAATTTTAAAAGACAGGACAATTATACAATTATACTTAACGTTATAAGAAATTTTTTTTTTTTTTAAAGATAAGACTTGAAAAGTGAACCGTTTTCGATTATTATATTTTTAACATTTTGCTAGTCATTTTAATGGTAAAGATAATTGCTAATTTTCAAAGGATAACATATTTTTACCTATATTTTCTCTCTTGTAATACATGAATTTACTTATTTTTTTTTTAATAAACATTATTTTAATGTAAACCTATTAAATAAGTAATATAAAATCAATAATAAACTAAAAGAATAGAGGAAAAGTTAATCTAATTGAAGTTTAGATAACCAAGTTTATTGTTTTTATGTTGGGTATTTAAAAAAATACTTTTAATAGAAACAAAGGAACATAAAATATATAATAATATAACATACAAACCTCATATTTATTAAAATCTAAATGTTTAAATGACTTATTGATTATCATCAACGGGTTTAAATCTGTTAAATGCTTGATACAAAACATAAATCGATCGATTTCTGTTTCTTCTAGAACCAGTAATGTCCATTTTCTTCTTTCAGATTTTCTTTAAGGATAAGAAAAATATTTTATTTAACAAAGATGATTAAATATAATAAAAATATATAAAATTAGTGTAAACTTACCTACAAATAGTAAAAGCAAGTTCTTGTATAAGTTTTGAAATAACAAATACTTTATTTGTTACTCCTTTTAATGAAATAATCACATTTTTTTTTTTAGCCGAATTTAGAATTTCAATAAGATATTCTTGAGGAGTAAAAGTTTTAGTATGTATATTATCGCCAAAAGTTAACGCCATTTGAAAAATTATAACAAACCAATAAAAGGCATATAACTAAATAAAATATTATCAAAATCAAAGTACATAAAGATCCAGTAGAAGTGTGTATTATGTTAGTAGTTAAACATTATTTATGTTATTGTTAAATATTTTACCGGTTTATATTTTCACAATAGAATAAAACTATTTATGAATAAAATGTATCCTTTTAAATTAGTTTTGAAAAAATCAATTCTCATTCATTATTTCTACAAAAACTTGATACTTCGTTTTATAGATTGATTTTTCGGTTTTTGAGTTTATACATCCGTAAGAATAGAAAACATTGTTATTCATTATGTAAATTGTACACACATGGAACAGCGTACAGACACACTAACCCGGCTTACTGGCACGGTTGGTAAGTTTGTTTATATAATAAACAATTGTTATCTATACAGTAGTAGTATAGGAGCGTATAAACACAGGAATGCACCTTAAGCATTCTGCGCATAACCACTATCATGTTAGGCTGTTATCAATGTATTATACCAAATCACTATAATACGATAATAATATTATTATAATCA